TACATCCCCGGCTCAGTCCAGGCTAGTGCCCCGCTATGGCCCGGGTCAAGGGGGGGGGGGCGGAACAATAATTGACATGTGCATAACTGAAAGAAATACTCATACTAATGTATCGTACACTGTACACAGGCCTACAGTATACAATATCTCTCTTGCATCAGTGATTTGTAATGTCTTTTGGATAACACCCTATTGTAAAATAATCGCATACAGTATTTAATCATTTTAAAAGTGATGACAGTATAAATACAGTACAGGATTGAATATAAAAATTGGAACTTGGAAGATACATTACATTTTCAATTGGTTCACTTACTGACTACATTCATTGTCACTTCTTCCACAACTTCCTTTGGATTATTAGTGAATTGTTGATTCAGTCCAAAGGATAAAGAATTGAGGCCAAACAAGGACACCAAAAGGATACTAAAAGTAACAAGTAAACTGAGTTGTACTAAGTACACTCCTAATCATCAGTGATCTTACTGTGTAAATGCATATTTTCATGATTTTTCCTAAAATTACCAATTGGCTTGGCACAATGGGGTCCATTCCTGGAGGAGGTGAACGATTGGCGCATTTCAGTGGGTAGATATGTCATAATATGCAAGGTAATTTCCTATACTGTATCTAGCTGCCCGCAACTAAGCTACAGTAGTGTACCCCAGCTTGTGTATCATGATAACAATACAATCGTCGTATCTCGCTGCAGTGGATCCATTCCGAATTGGAAAAAATAAAAATCTGGCGGACCACAATGGTATTGTACAGAAGTACTGGACATATTGCATAGTTTTGAAAAGCTTTAGCATTGGGCTTCCTATAATTTCATAGTAGAATTCTGAGTCTTGGGTAAAAGAGCGGGGGTGTATAATGTCACAATATATTGATTTAATGTTAATACAAAGGGGCATTCCACAGTATTTTTTTGTTGCGGACATTACACTTAAGAGAATTTAAAATTCTATATCTAGTAAACCACTGAAGGGAAACATTTTATTTTTTGGTCAATTAATTGCTTACAGACTGAAGTATATTCAAAGTAAAACATGATTTAGATAATAAACAATACTAACTATTTAATTTTAAAAAACTGAAAAAAAAAAAATGTTCAAGAACAGTTTTTTTTTTTTTTTTTTTCTTCAGTACCATAGAAGACATGTGTGTGAGGTTGATAAATTAATATTTTTTTATTGAACCTTAGAATTTTGTTTTTATTCATATAATAATACACCAAAAAAGAATTCATATGTGCACTGTTAATCTGGTGTTACTGTAAGTCTGTAAAATACCAAAATGTAATGTGTGCTAATTTAATGTACTGTAATTTACAAGTTAATTAGCACACATTAAAGTACACACATACAGTAAAGATTGCCTCTAGAAAATACCCATTTGATATTGTATCACTTAAAATAAAATACTGTAGCATCAAGAGATTAGACTAATTAATTCCGGTGCCAATTATCAACAAAAATAATTTATGAGATGGTGGTCAAGGATTTATCAGTAATTTCCTTTCCAGTTAAAAAAAATACATTATTCTACAATGTACAAAAGCTAAAGAAACATTCAGCTTTTTTTTGCAATTGAACTGCAAAAATTATGTTGTGAAGACTATGTGTTCTTCGTTGTTCTTAGAGCGATCTTTACTGTTGATAGAGGGCGTGAGGCGGGAGAATTCGAATTTGTGATTTACGTTGGTAAATAAATGGCGAATAATAGATGTTAATGCTAACCTGGAGTTTGTGAAAGCTCAGCTAATGTGTCATAGTTTGAATTACTTGGGCAAAGCGTTTATTTATGCTTTATGGTATTAACATGACTATGATTTTATTTTATTTTTTATTTTATTTCAACAATATTTTGTGAGGGTGGTCCATCCAGCCTGAGCTGATCAATTGGGACCCTCAGTACATACAATTAAAACATAAGTATAAAAATTAAACTTGATCTTTAACATAAACAAATTAATTAAATTAAACCAGGAAAAAATTAATAATAATAAAAATCAGAAAAAAAAATATGGGCCTACAGTATATAAATTATATATAATAATGATTTAAGGAAAACATTAAAATTAAAAAAAATTTAAATTAAAAAAAAATTGACATATGATAAAGATTAAGAGTCTTGCTAAACCCCGCAAACCTCCAAAAAAACACCGCAAACCCCATCCAAACTCTGTGATAATAATTGAATCACATAGTATAGGACTCAACTTGGTATCTCAATAAAAAAAATCTTTTAATTTTATGTTCGTCACAACCTATTTTTGGGGTAAAAAGGCCATTTTTTGTATTAAAAAATTGCTAAACCAGGCAAACCCCCCAAAACACAGTGCAAACCCCATCCAAACCCTGTGATAGTGATTGAATCATGTCATATAGGACTCACTTGGTACAAAAGTAAAAAAAAAAATTTAATGTTCCATTCGTAACAACCTACTTTTTGGGTAAAAATGCCATTTTTTGTATAAAACATTGCTAAACCCAGCAAACCTCCAAAGACACAGTGCAAACCCCATCCAAACTCTATGATAATGATTGAATCACATAAGTACAATACAATACAATATTTATTGGATAACACTTTTATAACAGTGGCACACGTTAGACAAATTCTAATAGTAACAGTGCATCCAGAAAAGAACAAAGCAACAGAAATAAAAAAAAATTAAATTCTTAATTATGAGAGATTTACAGATAACTCAAATAACATTATTGCCCACCCACCAATCAAATTAAACACTTAAAATAAACTACAAACAAAACAAGAATGACTGGTTTGAAAAGTCGTGCAACAAAATTTAAATTAAATTAATTTAGAATTAAAAGAAAGCGTTTATGCTCTACGTACAGTATGAGTATGCACGCACAGGAATTATTACACAAGCTTAATGCTTAAAAAATCAAATATAATACTGTAATTACACAACAGCACAGATAAAACTTAAGCTACAAACATTTAAATAAGTCACATCTCCTTTTCCACAGACTTTTGGCTAAAGATTTGCAAAATTTGTCAATTAATAGGACTCAATTTGGTATCTCAATAAAAAAAAAATCATAATTTTATGTTCGTCACTAATGTGATAATCTAGTAGGCTCTGCTAATAATGGCTATAGATTAATAGTACTTTAGTCTCCATATTAAATTTTATACTGTACTGTACATAGCATTAGTTTAAAACCAGCTTAAGTTAGGAGTGAATTATACTGGGTAAGTATTTTGCATAAAAATTACTTTGAAGTTGGTTTAGATTCATACAGTAATATTATAATTATTGTCATTTAAAATGATTTCTAAAAAAGATGGAAATATTAATTACTCTATATTTGAATATATTCTTATCACTCCTACAGTAGAACCTCTTAAATCCATCTAGATAGAAAACTAAATTCCATTTATTATTTATGACTACGTGTACTACACACATATGTTTGTGTGTGAGAATATTTCCTCCACATAATCAAAGCTTTCCGGTTCACACACATGTTTTATGTCACAAGTTTGGAAAGTCATGTCACAATTCAAGAGCACACAGCATGAAACTCAATCTGGGTCTCATTTACTAACAGACATCCAGTGCCTCAGAAACGATGACAAAAATTCATAAGCCTCTTCATATAATTATCATAATATTACAGCATGAGTCGACATGTTTTTTAAACATAATGTCGACTCATAAAATTATGATATTAATACAAGAGGATTCAGTGTGTGATGAAGAATTTTCTAGTTCTGAAAATATGTGTACAGTAGGCAGGTACTAAAAAGTTGAGCCAAATTGTTTAGACACCCAAGTTGGCGAGTTGATTGGCCGAGCGGTTTAGTCTGGGGCACTGTAACTTTCAGCTATAAAATTACGGCGCTGGTTTACACGGCTCAATTGCCAATGGTTCCGGTTATGGAACATGTCTTCTCGAATAAGGATTTTAAACTGTAGGCCCAGTGTACGCATTTTGCTTGTGTGCACTTTACAGAACCCAGTATACCATTCAAGAAGAGTAGGGATTACCCCAGTGTACTACTGTAGTCCAATCAGTCCTCTATTGTTTAATGAATGTACGATAGTGATTAAGTTCATTTTATGACATCTTGGTGCTCATGCCTAAAGGAATGAAAAAAGTTGAGGTCAGGCGTTCAAATCCCACACTGTGCATAAAGCTGTCCTAAAGAGTAAGTCACAAGTTTTGAAGTTTCGGGGGATTCATCAACTGAGTCAGCAATAGGGCTGCTCTCACGAAATGAAAGTATGCAGACATCTCACCGGCAAGTTCGATGTAGTAGTAGCTTCTGTCTCTGCCTATTGCATCTGGTCTACTACCGCTAGACTGCTAAGGAAGTAGACCTACAGTATTCCGAGTCCGAAGACATAACCCCTTACTTTGAGAAAAAAAAATCTACTTAATTAACCCATCCTAATGCTACTACGATTTCTACAATTGGTAGAGTGACTGGATCTATGTTAAGCGGGGCCAAAGACCGATTAACTGCAGAATATAATTTTTTATATGATTTATTTTCTTTTGTCTACACTCTCTCTATATTATACACACAGCCACAGAACTATACTGTATGATTGAAATTTGCAATACTCTCCAACTCCTTCAGAGTGTGTGTACAGTAAGATTATAACTTTCAAAACAATTAATTCAGTAGTATTTCTACATCAATTATTAAATATAAAATGCAGCAGCAAACGAACGAGTGGGAGGTAAAGAAAATAAAGTATACTTCATCGTATCTTTAAAATAGTATGCCAAGTATGTACAGTAATCTGAACCTCCATTCTAAAGTTCAATGCAAATAACCAGTGCTCAAAAAAACCGATCTTCACATGTAATTACTACATTAAATCTTAAATACATTAATAATTATGAACATTTGTTGAGAGTACAGTTACCATAGCAACTGCAATATGTTTCTAATACTGAGCAGATTGTGATGAGAATGAAATTCCTTTCAAGTGAACAAGTTATCATAAGCTAACTTACCTTTGATTAGTATAAATCCGAAAAACAGTATCTTCCCGTACATTGCAATGTCTTTGGTTTAGAAGATTTATTCCTGATAAAACGTTGAGCGACTACATACTAGAAATATAATCCCCAGAGGAAACAGCTGGCAGTGTAAATGCACTTGGATCTGTAGCCTGTAACAAGGGAAACAAAAATGTTAAAATAAACTTAAGAATCTGATATTTATTACATTGCACAGCAATGATTCAATAAGTACCATCTTGTTTATGTTGGTTGTTGTAGCCACAGACTGAAGTAATGATATGAGATGTGAATTTCAAACAGTAAATTTTACAAAAAAAACCAAAAAAAACCAGTATAATTATTCACATTTATGTTAATCAAATTCGCAGCAGTGTACAGTATACTACTGGTACACTAGGGAGCTTTCGGAGCGTCGTCGTGCAATCGAAAAAGCCCTATTGTTGACAGCATTGCTTATCTCTACCCAAGCACTGTACCTGGTAGGATTAAGTTCTGTCCAGACTATCAAATTTTATGTGAAAAAAGATGTGACACGCCTAAATATGTTCATGACATGACATCATGACCATATATAGGCACATCATGACTAAATATGGGCATAAAACGGTTATTTGTCAAAGAAAATTTGATAATCATCTGGACAGAGCTTTAGCATGCCAAATGCACCTGACATTAAGGAAAATTCCACAGGGAGCTAAGTTTGTAAAGCGCATAGAGGCTTTAGCATGATGCGCTTCAGTAGAAGTCTACACCACACACCAGTCTTCTGGGTTTGGAAGTCAAAACTGTTGTGATTTGTAAATAGACCATTGAATTACTAAATGGACCAAATAAGTTACCAACTTCATACAAAACAGAAATACTTTTTGTTTTTAATTTTCTCAGTATCAAATACAAAAAGAAACAATTGCATAGAAATACCAGTCAAGAATTATTTATGTAAAATCAATACTACATTGTAAAAATGACAATGACTCGTGCATTACAAAAAGTAAAAAAAATGTTAATAAGAAAATATAAATAAATGTTGTACAACACTAAAATGTTAATGTGTATTCAAACAATGATAGGCATGGCCAATCATATGAGTACACGTACTGTATTGTACGTACTGTATTGTACATAAAATAACGTAGTAATAATATTCATACAGTATGTTATCCTTTATGCCAACACAGGGCTTTTTTCTTTAAAGCCCTTCACATTATTAGAACTTCTATTAGAACCCTGATCAATAGATGGAACATATACCATACTCTATGGGGAGAATTCCATATTAACAATTGTTGCAGCTGCAATGAGCAAATACAGTGTCTGCACTAGGTACACAATTGTACTACTTGATAAAATAGACAACTGTAGGTAAAGTACCTTATCTAAGGACACATGTGAAATGCACACCAAGGAACACCTCACCTCAAGGTTGAGAAGCTACTGCAAACCCTACGCCAAACCACTCCCACAGAATTATAAAATGTGATGAAGCTGGAACAGTATCATTATTCATACATTTTTATGCTTAATATTCAAGTCTGAAATGTATCTTTAAATTTAATTTTTTTTTTTTGTAAGTTAATAATAAATAAATAGTAAAAATAAATAGGAACGAGTGTCTGTCATAACGGAAATGCTACAAGATGATATCACTGAATAAAATTTAATTTGATTTGTAAAAACTTCTGGTAAAACTTACTAAAAGCTACAAATTAAATTTTACATAAAATTAGTCACAGAATGCAACCTTGATCCACTTGTATCTTTTTTTTTAAACTAAAAAAAAAAAACAAACATGAACAATGAACATAGCTCACAGTACAATGAAAAATTTGATTTTAAAAATAATTTTAAAGGGCAAAAAAAAGTATGGTAGTTGAGAAAATACTAATAATATTCAATGATTATATTCTTGTTATTCATGAATGTACAGTATTTCAAGACCAAAAACTTAATGTAGCCATCGAATTTGACTATTTTAATGTCTGTCAAAATCAAGAAGTAAACTTTCATTTCAACTTTGTAACAGTATTTTAGATCAAAGGGATACAGTAGGTATATAAGTTTTCAGTGTTATTCACACCAAGGAGAGCCCACTAAGTCCAAAGACTTATTTTGAGTTGGGTCGTTCTGGTGATGAATTGGGCAGTACAACAATCCCCAACTCTCCTTCTGGTGATGAATTGGGCAGTACAACAATCCCCAACTCTCCTCCTGGTGATGAATTGGGCAGTACAACAATCCCCAACTCTCTTTTGATGAATGTACTGCATTCTTTAACATGTATATGAGCCATACTGTACATAGAACCAACAGACTTAAACGTCTCATACAAAAGACGGTGCGCTATCGAAGAATACTCAAGGAGCAGCGGCGGGCATTGAAGTGGGGAATTACTGTAGAGATCTCCAAGGTTCAGCACAAACAGTGGCTACTGCCAGTTTAGACTACTGGGTAAAGCTGGTTAAATTAACAGCAAAGAGAAACAGATTTGATTGATTGATTATTATTAATTAATTATTCCTGCAAAAAAGCCACTTGTGCATTGTTAAGTTTGACATGAAATTTGTTTCTTGACAAAGATACAGCAACACAAGATACATTACACTGAAACTATGTCCAAGGGTTTAGCCAGCGAGCCGCCCGGCCGACCACAATTATTTAGGATGGCAACATTTAACGTGACGTCTTGGCCTACTCAGCTCTGTCTAGTCTACACTTAGTTGAGCCTGGTCTACTTTAGCAATTTCTTTATATTCTTTGAATCTTTCAAATGTTGTATTAAACTTAAGCATATTTTGGATGGCTGATTTCATTTTCCTTTTTGCTAAACTCCTGGTGCTGTCCAAGTTATGAAAGTGACAAATCTACATGATCAGCATTACTGTACAAATAGGCTGTATCCGACTGATTCGTTTCGCTGACAACGATCTTTCATTGAGTATTATTTTTACTCGGCTGGTTCATAAAATAGACTTCATTGACAACGGAAATTAATGTATACGAGAGTGTGTTACACATACAGTGTGTTAACTTGCAATAAGTTATGTACGTGACCTGAACAAACATGGCCGATTGGTCAGTTTAGGAACATAACTTGCGTTAATATAATTTAGATTAAATTTCAAATAATAATAATTATAATGTTTGCCCACATAAAATCAAAAAATAATTGTAGGCTAGCAGAATTCAAAAATTGCACGAAAACTTTCTTTTTTTTTACGAAAACACATACTGCCAGAAGCTGAAGCAACCTTGATTACTGTATGCTAGTGTGTGTATCGCATAGAGATATAATAAGAATACTAGAGCGCTAACAGCAATGTATTCGATGTTCGAAATACGCAGAAGTGTGTGTGTGTACCATCCAAGATGGCTGCCATAGATTTAGCCAATCAAATTTCCCCTGAGCACTATCATTTTCAATTGCGCCTTGAATTTACACAGAAAGTTCAGTACAGCTAGTTACCCGTATTTTGAAACTCGAGCGTTGCGGTGTATGGGTGTAATGTACACGATTTTAATTCTTTTTAATATTTGAATAAGATGCTCTACTTGGCCTCTTTTTGGCTACGACAGTTTAATAATTTGTCATTATCAATACTAATTATCATTAATGAAATAATATTCAGTCAGAGGCTTATTTATGGTAATAATATGTATACTAAGCCTGAAGGTGGTGCTTTCCTACGGCAGCCATCTTGGATGGTACACATACACAACTCTGCATTGCTCCGCCATCTTTTCAGCACTCTAGTTGTTTAATAGCTTTATGGTGTATCGTGCATGTACAGTATCGTGGTAACTATGCAGCTATTTTGTTTTTTCAAGTATTTACCAGATTTCTATTCATCTGGTCGTCTTTGTTAAGTAGAATTTTACCCCTGCGTAGGTAGGCATGGTTTAACGAAGAGCAACCAGTCTAATATGGCTGAAGGCATGAAGATATCACACCTAAATTTGGCCAATCACAGATATCTGTCACATAAAATATGATACAGCAGTGTGAACAAAGCAATAACCAACCTGTAAATATTTTTATATAAGTATTTAATAGTTTTATAGATTGTTAATGATTTTATTAAATTATGGCTTCTAATGTTTAAGTTAAGCTTAGGAAACCATTTTTGTATTAAAATCCTATACATTTCTATGGCTTTAATGATTTCAGTATCATAAGAATTATAATAAACATTTACACAAATTTATACAAATGTTTGGTATTTAAAGATCTGTATTTATTTTCAGTTTAAAAAACTGTATTAAATTTCTATACTTTTCTATGGCTTTAATGTTTTTAGTTGTGTATACGAATTATAAAAACTTGTAACTTAAAACACAAATTTACACAAATGCTTGGTATCTAAAGATATGTACTTATTTTCATTTTTTTAAAAATAGATATACTATACTATAACCCTGTAAATTATTAAGTGTTAGCAAAGACTACATTAAGTAATGTATAGTCTAAAATAATACCCCATAATAGGTGTTCTTGGCCTTATTTTATTTTATATTCCTAAATATTTAAATCCCTCCCAGTGGACTCTTTAGCACAATTTCAGCTATATTCATTAGCTTGGTACTTCAGTATGTGAACCATAACTCTTTGTCTTTAAAAATTCAGGACATTTACGTGACAGAATTATGTGATTGTCAAAATATATTTTTAGTAACACACGAGTACAGTCTGTCTGGCCAAAATAATGTAAAGGATGCTTAGGGACTAGGCCTAGCCTATACTAGCCTTGCTAAATCATAATGATGGATAGGCCTAGGCCTAACATTCAAAAAAGAATTTTAAAATTCAGGCCCTGCTTTTCAATTTTAACAACCTACAAAAACAGCAAGTTAAAAAAACGGCAGTCTGCCTACCTACTGCCAAAACTAATGCCCTACACTACACATCACACATTCATTAATTATTTTTTTAATCACTTAATTACAAGCAATCTGTTGTTAATATTGGATTGGATTTATTCGGCGTAGCCTAAACACCAAGTATAGCTCACGAAAGTCGGTCCGAAAGTCTAGAAGAAGAATTTAAAATGTTAAACACCGAGAAGGAGCAGACAATAATCAAATTCCACTTGAAAACATTGATGAAATGTTACGCCAAATACCGTACCCCAAAAAATATACTGTAACCTAGACTAGGTAGGCCTCGATAGGCTAGGCCAATTGGGTACAGAACGCCCTATCCAAAGGGTAGCCATCCCACGTTGCCTGCCAATGCTGGCACATGAATTATGCATCATCGATACCGAAGAATCCAAAAACCTCTCCCATATTTCCATCGATAGAACTAAAAAAATCAAAAGCTATAAACAGTTATAGAACAAACTTACCTGTTTTTCTATTTTCATATAATTTTACCAACAAGTCTAGTGAACCTTGAGAGCGATAGCTGTGGAGAAAAGAATATTACCACAATATTTAGACTCAGGGAATTCAAACACCACTTTCTCTTTCACCCTGACTAGCTTTCTGACAACAATTTACTTTTTGGTTTCTGGCTGATAGAAATATTGCTGCTGACCAGCAGCGAGGCTCGACTCCACCACGCTTTGCAAAGCAGCCATGCTTTGCCATAGAGTGACGCAGCCATGTGACTGCTCCATTTTCTGCATGGGAATTTTTTTCTGACTGTAACACCGCGTCATATCATGAAAATGTGCGTCAACTATTGGTAATTCGCGTCAAAATATGACAATGTGCGTCAACTATTGGTAATTCGCATCAACATGCGTCGTGATTAGGCTAAGCCAAAGTACTATGGCCTGAGCTAGACTAAGCAGAGGGTAGGCAGGAACTAGGCAAGGCTACGTCTCCCAGTCTACTATTTACCTAATTTGGCACTAGTATGTTGCTAAGTTTTGCCGCAATTACAAAGTGCTATTAGCCTTCAAAATTGAAGTTTGCACTAATCTGGAAGAAGAAGAAGATTACCTGCGGGTAAAATGGTATCACCAGCCATGTAAAGTCTTTGATTATAGAGGGCGCAAAGTAATCAAGAACGTAAACATTGCTGCTAAAATCAAAAGTGAGGTTTAATTTTCCAATTTTTATTTCATAGTATTAATATGTGATTCTTTTTGGGAATGATATATATTTTACCGGTATATGTCATCAAAAAAATAAAATCACTTAAAACTTCTACGTTTTGTTTTACTTAAATTTTATTTTAGTTTTATGTTTGTTGTTAGCTAGGCCCTAGCCTAGGCCTAGTCTACGGCCGATGTTTGACAATTTGGCGCAGCCACGAAGGTGACTGCTGTGTGGTTATCCGCAGGTAAACGTAGTCCCAGGCCTAAAATGAAATTTTCTTCCGCATCGCACCAGCTGATGAATTATATCATCCTGAAACTACCCTATACTTTTGATCTTTGAATAAAACCGATGTAATTAACATGAATCGTGATTATGCATTACAATTAATTTATAGTCAGAAAGAACCCAAAAACAAAAAAATGTAGGGGACCTACTAGGCCTACACCAGTACTGTACTACTGGGCCTAGCCAGGTTAGCGAGCAAGTGGCAAGGGTAGTAGTAGTATTGGGCTAGGAAGTACAGTGTAGTCATGGTACAGGTGTGTGTGGTTAAACTGCTGGGCCACAGTATTCCTACCAAAAAGATTGTTTTCGTTCAACTCATTTAGACCTACAGTATGTAATGTACTTAGAATTACCTAAATAGTCTCAAAGCGCTTGAGATGTGGACTAGCACTTTCAGTAACTTGCTTCTCCCCCAAGGGTCTCTTTGTGTCAGAGCTACCTGATAAACCGGTACCAGCTACTCTATCTCATCATGATACCTCAAAAACTAGCTCAAATTTGCATGGAAAATAGGTGTGCAGAATGATAAATCGTAATTACTGCATAATATATTGTTTGTAATATTTGCAATAATCTAATTTTCAGCAAAAGACTAATTTATGAGCAGAGGATATATTCTGGGCCATTTATTTATGCATTTCAACCCATATTCCGCAGTGCAGTTTTTTTTTTTTTTAATTTTCTTAAATTCTTATGAGCGGCTAAAGGACTTCTTGGCATGCCAAGCTATATAATATAAGACTGACATATCATGACACATGTTCCCAAAAATAAAAAAAGAACTTCCCACTCTACCATACAAACCTCTACATGAATTGCCTACTAAATTTTTAAAGTTTTCGTTCATGGCAGATCCAAGAATTTGAAATGCAGGAGGCCCTAGGGATAGAGCATCCAGACCAGCTGAATCCCACCATGGTGGTGGCTGAGTTATGAAATTATATGGCAATGCCACTTCTTGTGGCTAAAAATGGCACACATTACATTTTTGCATTTAGTTTGAATCTTATTTTATTTTTATTTTTGTTTAAATTGCCAAAATTTGTGGGGGAGAGGGATAAGTTGGCTTTCCCCTTTTGAATTCACTTCTGTCAATTTATTGCATCTGTCTAGACATTCATAATTCAAAAGTTTTGTTGTGGCTTGAAAATGGAATGTTATTTTAAAATCTGAACTCATGATTAAATCGATGACACAGCATCTTTATGACATAAAATTGAACTCATATTTGCCGGAATTAATTATAATGTTGAAACTAATTATAGTAACAAGTATAAATGATGATCCGACAGGCTTGGATATATAGATGATTATATTGAGGATGTTAGTAAACAAGTGGTAATATGATCATAAGTTCTATGAAAAATTGATGGTAATTAATTCGATGAAAGAAGTAAAGCATGTAAAATTTAACTACATTGCAGTGAATTCAAGGTCTTATACACAGGATGTTAATTATTTACAGTCAAGTCAAATGTGGAAGAGCAGCTGGTGTAATTATACGATATTTATTATAAAAAGAATTACAAGTTTTTACGTAATATGACTTTATCAGGTTTCGATATTTTGTATTCTCTTGAAATTTGAGAAAGAATGGATGACACAAAGAAAAAAAAAAAAAAAAACAAGTATAAAAACCAATCCTACTACAATTGTAGTATGCCAATAGTGCTTTTTAATTATTAAAGGGGCTTTATTACCTGCTCAACTCTGTCTCTTTGCTTGTTTATTGTTAATTATTATTCAGCTTTTTGATCCACAGGAGGTAGTCCTTACAACAAAGCTGACTGACATACTGTAACAAGGCCTTCACAAGTCGAATCCAAAATGCCATTGAAAAATTGTTGGACAGATAGAATAGAATTCCACTTACAGATTGTTAATTAATGGAAAACAACAATTTGGCATGTCAAATAAGATCGACTTAGAAATAACTGTACCGCACAATTGAAAATGCAAATTAATTCAACCAGCAAATCATGTTTATAAATCATTAGAAATGTTTTTATTTTATAGAGTTGAGCCAAGAACAGGGAGGAAGGAGATGAACCATGTTACGGTAAATTGATTTTTAACATCTTAATATTTTTCTCAAAAGCATGAACTTGCTTTTTTCAGACATAATTTATATTAAGTTAAAATTAAATGTGTAATTATAAACAATTGCTATGCATTGATATTAAATAACTATAAATAAATGAATAATTTAATATGAAGTCATGATATTGTTGTATTTTGTAGTTCCACAGTGCCAGCTTTATAATTGCAAGTTCTTGAGTTAGTTCAGTTCCCACAAATGTTTTTTTTTCTGACTAAAAACAACTCTGTTACATAGTCTCAACTTGAAATTTAGTTTTTTAGCTTTTTTTCTCATTTTTAATTTTTTTTTTAATTTTCTGAAATTGACTTCTTTTTAAAAATTGATTGAAAAGAAAATTTCCTTCAATTGAAAGCCATCTGACAGCACAAACGGAAATTATATTAATAATTCAAGCAAAAGGTAAAGTGAATGATTTAATTAGTAATGAAGGAAGTGCTCCCAACTAATAGTGCAAGCTACAAGGTCGACATGTACGAGACCCAGCTTAGAAACTCTGCTGTATTGAAGTAGTGTAAAGTAGGGAATCTCAGGGCTGGAAAAAGTGCACGACCGCGCGTCCGGCAGTCGGAGGCATTATGAAAGGCATTTGGGGTAAAAAATATTTCTAAAAATATATACCCAAATATTTTATAGCGCTGAGCGTTATTACCCCTGGTCACTGGATAACATACTATGGTAAACCAGCTCAAAGTGCAACCTTCTCTGCTCCTTGGAGAGTATACGTGATCGTGCGCATCTTGTTGAGCGCATGAAATAGTACATTCAATGGCACAACATCCTACCAGGTACCCATTTATACTCCTGCATAGAGAGAGACAAACGTAGATAAAGTGCCTCTCCCAAGGACACAAGCAACTTGCACAGCAAGAGTTTTGAACCCCTGACCTCAAGGTTGGGAGTCAAAGCCACAACCGATGTACCAAAGTGTACAGATAACAATTATATGGTTGGCGGCACAAACATTTAAACCAAACTCATCTCCCATGTGTAAACTTTCGCCAGGTCTAGGCACAGTGGCGGTGCTACCGGAAGGAATGGAGGACAACAAAAATGAAAAGAAAACCTTTTTTATTTTTTTATTTTCAGGCGTACATTCAGAAATGTAAGAGCTTAAAATTGCCCAAAATTATATTGTTCTTTTTCTCAACCAAGTCTCGGCTTCTGAAAGCTTTTCCCCTCCCCCTCTGTATGTAGTGTAGTTAGATTTATAGCTCTTTATTCCGAAACGGTCTCGGAGCACTTGAGCTGTGACTAGCTCTTACATTAACATGCTTCTCTGCTGAAGGTCTCTTCAGGTCTAATCTACCTGGTAAACCGGCACCAGAGCTCTACAGGTGCACATCAGCCAAATTAAACTCGCCAAAGCATTGTCTAGACACCAATGGATAATCATTAGAGGATGCTTGTATTTCTACAAGATTTTTTGCATTAGCAATAAAGGGTACAAATACTTAGTGATAACGACTAGATAATTATAATTTAATGTTTTTAACTGTACTGTACAGTAATTGAGAATGAAATTTTTTATTACAGATTTGATACAATTTAGCATTATTGCAACAGTTGAAAAACAGCCTGACTAATTTCTATGTTCACATTGATTATTTAAATATCAGTTTATTATTAATACTGTATAGTAATAATTTGTGATAAATAGGTTTTTACATTCTAAACATCTCAAAGCGGTTCATGTTCTATTGTCAGTATCATACACAATGTACTATATTGTCCACTACCTGCAGAGTAGTCTCCATGAACCAATGCACTGGTTTAAAAAATGGGTTTTTTTTAAAGATTTTTGTAGGCATAATATTCTAAAATGTCTCAGAATCACCAGGGCTTCATTGAAATCTGCTGGCCTCTACTGCAAGTTGTCAGAACCCTTCCCCCAGTCCCCTTGACTGGCAGTAGTACATTTTATATTTTTGTATTATGCATATATTTTTCTTTTTTTATCATTATTGAATGGAAATTTTATAAATTTATATTTTGTACTATATTTCCAACTAGTCATCAGGTTTTGTGATTTCCGTTGGTTTAAAGATAATAGACGATTGTGCAATGTTTACAGTAGTTTAACTGTAGACTAAAGGCCAACTCAGACAGCGTCGTACGATGCAGCACAACGCGATTTGTTGTCACGTCTGGTCTGTGTGAGTTAAACGCAGACGCGATGGTGTGCGTCGGGGGTAGGCGTGTCGTAGAATATTAAATATGTTTAATATTTCTCAAGACTGTCCCCGACGATAAATCGGGTCGGGCTGCGTCGGCCGACGCTGTCTGAGTTGGCCTTAACACACACTAAAGATAAGATTGTGTGAATACTGTAAGTCAGAGTTATGATCTACAGTTACAGAGCAGTGGTCAGTGACCTGTGAGCCAAACAGTATATAGACAAGTTTATATCAGTTTGTAATTAAAATATTCTATTTATATAGACAAATTTTTTCATTTAAAAGTAGTAGCAGAAATAAAGTTCAACTTGATGCAGTTTAAAAATCATTAAATAAGATTGTTCCTCTAGGGTTATATCAAGCAAAGGGTGTGTGTCCCGCATTCATCCAAGCATGGCTGAACTCGCTGGTCATACAACCAACCAAAGTATAGCCATAATTACAGAGGATTCAGTGTGAATATTTATAATATTTATAGTTTATTGTCGTAGATTCCATCAATAAAATCAGTTTTATTCATAATATTTATCTGCTCCATTTAATCAACAACCTTGAAAAACATTATACTCATTAATAATCATGTTTGTTGTATAAGTACCCTTAAATTCACATTCATTAATATTAATATCTTATGTACTTTCTCTATCCAATCAGTGACCTTTATAATAGCTTCTTTATTATAATATTAGTATTCATCTGCTCTATCAAATCAGTATCCTTGTCATAGGCAGTAATATTCATCTCCTCTGTCCAATCAGTGTTCTTAAAAACATATCATTAATATTCATAGTAGGTCTGCTATCTTGCATGCATAGGTCATCATTTATTCATAAAATTTAACATGTTAATTATAATTTCATTATTTTTCTTAAATTCCGTCAATAATAACAATTTTATTCATTAGTATTCATTTGCTCTATCCAATCAGCATCTTTAAAATTATTGCATTCATTAATATTCATAAATTTTTTTCCAAAAATGTCATTAATAACATATTTTTTATTATTCACATGCCATTACTCTTAAAAATATCACATTTATAAAATATTCATAGTAAGAATAAGGTCATACTTTGTTATTTTTGATCTTGTTGATTTGAAATCAATAAGAAACTTCAAATTTAACCAATTAAACTTTGAAGTTTAGTTTCACTTGAGTCTCATCTGTTTAGAATTTCATAATGGTGAAACAAATTTCACTTTAAATTTCAAAAATTTACCTAATAATCTAATCATCACTTAAATCTTGTCAGTCTTCAATTTAACTTGTTTCCTTAAAAATTATACTATTGTCTAGTGTGATTTTTATTTTTTTTTCAAAGATGTCTTCAATTGACTACAGTACATAATTGTTTCCTTTTTGCTCTGTGATATCATCTTCAGTTTTAGTAACCACATGATTAAATCTATTTCTGCTGCACCAATTTACATAAAAATTATATGTTACATCCTTCTAATTCGCCACAAAATGTCCGATCAATTATTTTTAGTCATGTTTCCACTTTGCAGTAAGCAACTCATAGTATAATGTTAGACAGGGTGGTATGGTGTCTGTGGTACAACAGGACAATGCCCACTCAAACACCTTGCTTAGTAGTGTAAGTAACTCTTATTATTATGTTAGACAGGGTGGTATGGTGTGTCTGTGGTACAACAGGACAATGCCCACTCAAACACCTTGCTTTAAAGTAGTGTAAGTAACTCTTATTATTATGTTAGACAGGGTGGTATGGTGTCTGGGGTACAACAGGACAATGCCCAGTCAAACACCTTGCTTAGTAGTTTAACTGAGAATAAAGGCGGCTAATATTAGTAATGTTAGTCCAATATTGATATGTGATCATTGCTGAGCATTTGTAAAGTGCATGATACATATCCTATATGCACCTTTGCAACAAAAGAGAGAAGAGAGATTGAGGAAAAGAACAAAAGGATAAAAAAGAAAAATAACAAACAGCCCTAAAGAGGTGAGTCCCGAGTCTTTGTTTTTAATATGGACAGAGAAAGAGATCATGGACGAAAGTATGGAGAGCGGGACAAGCGATTGTAAGAGAAGCTCAACACATGAAAGTGTGCAACAACTAGTTTGGCTAATGGTAGATATGAGAGACTTGCATAGGGTGGTCGTTTAAGGTTCAAGAATATAAATTAAGTATTTTAAATGCCTTATTTTTTATTACAAAATTAATAATATGTATAAGTGTTGCAAAATTAGTATTTGTACTTTTTTTTATAATTTATGATTGTTAAATATTTAATAATTCTTTTTTTTCAAAGGGATCTTTCTGTAATGCAGTACATATTTGGTTTTTTTTATATACAGTAATAAATGAAAAAATAAAGTAAAGGGGAAGGTTGCTTTATGATGGCTAACACTGATTCATATCAAAGATAGATTTTCCCTGACCTTTAATGGCATTATATTTTTCTAGTTGCAAATATTGTTTCAGAACATTGACTTTGTGAGTTATTAGTTAGGTGAAGCATGCCCTCTATTTGCAATTCTCATTAAATTAATTTAATTTATTAATTCTGAATTTTTTAAAAACTTTAATTTCATATAAAAATTTGTTTTCGATATATTTTGATATATATTAAAATTGAGGTTTATTTTGCTAGTGAAATCGTAACTTTAAGTGAACCAAAGTATATCTCAATTACAGTTTAATCTCATTTTCACTGCCATCCAAGCTCCCAATTTAAGGAAGTTGAAGTAACAAAGATCACAGTAGAGTTTACGCTCAAACAAAGACTAGGAGAGTCACGATGCGATCCTTAAATAGATTGCTTATCCTGGTTCAATTTTCTGATATCCCTTTGAAGTGCCTTGGTAATCTCACATGTAATCCTTTTTTCAAATATTTTGACCTGTATACTTTCAGTTTTGCTAGATGGAAATATTTAAGGTGTTTTTCATTTTTTTTAATTGTTAGTTAAGTACAGTATTCTTTATCAAAAAGGGGTGAAATTAGCATAAACTCAAAAATATCTTATTTTTACTTTTTTTTTTAATCCAAGATTGTAAAGCGAGGAAATTCAGAAATATGCACCTTTATATTTCTTTTTAATTTGTCTTTGTTCTCTGTTAATTTTTTCATTCCCTCTCTCCTTCTACTTCCATATTGGATGAATAAATCTGAATATGAATTGCAATTTATAGGAGGTGGGCAACATTTTAAAATTAACTTAAATTTAACCAGAACATTTTGTTCACAAGAGTGAACTTCTGCAGGTGACTGTGTGAATGAAAATTTGTGGTTAAATTATAGTTTGTCTAACTTTATTGCTGTATATTTAGACTAACACAGCTACCCATAATATTTCATTATAATCAACATTTTTTGTGTGTTTATTTTTACGTTTTGGGATGTTATTTACATTGACATTTCTAAGTATATGTTCAGGCAGTTCCTATGGAAAGTGACTTTATACTCCCTAATATACTCGCGGTCTTCTGAAATAGACATTTTTTGATTTACAGCCAACTATAAAATAGAGGCATTAGGTCAAGCATCTTCTGCAAGATGAATTTGCAACTAAAATAAACAATGAGAACCTATGGGATCCTAGCATAGACAAAAAAACAACTATTGTCTGTAAACAGTCATAGCCCTTGTATTTTAGTATGTGATTGTATCAGTAAGTATATTTTTTATTTTAATCTGTGAACAAACAACTGGAATTTCAAACCGTATATTTTACAGTGTTAGACAATATAAATTGAATTGCAAGTTTAATCTTCGAGAAACAGAAGAAACCAGAAACTCATCTTGCGCAGGGGCGAACCTTACCATATTACCCATAGCCCCTCCCACATGTAGAGTAGAACACCCACTCTAGGAGGTGAATAACAAATAATGGTTGAGGATGGATTGATTTTTTTTTTTAAATTAATGAAAGTATGAAACACTTACCCCTATTATGATGAATACCAAGTTAAAACGCAGATTCACAAAAACAAGCGATTTCAAGAGAGAGAGAGAGTGTAATTCCACTAGTTTGCGACAGTATACTGAATATCCCACCGATCAGTTTGAAATCACTTGTAAGATTAATGAAATTAAATTCAAAGGAAATTTTTAATTTGTCAGTACTGTATTCCTAAGTTACTTGGACAGAGTCAAAGAGAGCATGGTCAGTTCCTCAAAATACAAAGTCTCAATCATTGACATTCAATCTGAGTGTGTGTGTCACAATTTAGCAGAAGGCCGTTTCCTTCCTAAAGCAACTGACGAAAGTTTAATTAAACTTGAAGATCAAAAGGAATGTAGCATAAAATATCAGAGTGGCTTAATTGAATTACTTTTCACAGAGTTATTCCGAGATGAATGAATTCTAACAAACCACAACAAATTTGATCCGAGTTCTATGGAAATGGCATCAAATTATTGTCTGATATTTCCCCCTTCATTTGCATTAGGCTAGCACTGTATCAGGATATATCAATTACATTGAGGTTTATAGTTTTCTTGTAAAATTTTGTGAAGGACTCCAACAAACTTTTATAGGGATTGGCAAGCACATTAATATATTATTGGTATTATTATCAGTATTATTGATAGTTATTATGAGAATTGTTTTTGCACTGTAATAATTGATGTAGTCATTACTCGTCAATACAGTTTTATGGCCATAAGAATATATTTTGTTATTCATTGAAGAGAAAGATTCTTGTAGACAATTTTATCAGGTTTATTTTGAAACAGCACCTCCAGCGTCTCACATCTCACTTGGGGACTTCCAGCGGCCTAGCCTACAGTATATACTGAGCAGCTAGCTAGTGTCAAATAGAGTGTCGTGCGCACACTGGTAGGCCTCTGGAAGACCCCCAGTGTTAGTTGCCAGGTTATTGGAAACTTTCATTTCAAATTTTGTGAAAATTGTCTATAGATCGAAACCTGGACCATGGGTTTCGAAGGCTGGAACCCTGACCGTGATTACTATTTGAGGAAGAAAGTTATTACACTATGAATATCAGCTTTTGGATTCTGCCTCCTGAGAATGATAAACATGATGTTGTTGTTGAGAACTACGATGTTAAATGTGCGTAGTTTTTACATCGTGAAGTACTGATCCAACAGGGAACACTTCCTACTCTTACACTTGCCTTTCACTGTTTACAGTTATCTTGAAATATAATTTATGACTTATCCAATTATGAACTGTTCAGATAGACACAAATCAGATTATTTGGTATTAGTAGTATTTCATAATCATAAAGTGACACATGGTCGTAGTCATGGTAGCACATGGTCGTAGTCATGGTAACTTTAAATACTAAATTAAGTGGTTTAACTACATAATGATTTATATTCTAAATTAGAAATGATCGAAATTTTGGATAATGTATAAAGCTCTGTCCACACTATCAAATTTTCTTTGACAAAAAAATGTGACAAGCCCATATATAGTAATGCTATGCCTATATATGGTCATGGTGTGATGTCATCATGCCCATATATGGGCATATCACACTTTTTTGTCACACAAAATTTAATAGTGTAGACAGAGCTTAACAACAGGTAATTTATCACTACTGTATTCACAATTTGATGCAAACTATTTTTAATGTTTTTAAGTTAATTAAGTTGAATGATGATCTCATCGAATCAAAAATAAAGTTTGGAAAATATAAAAATAATAAACCATTAAAAATCATAGCTGTAGATTCAAATGTGTAAAACTTGATGTTTTATATAGACTTAACTTTAATAATTACTTGTCCTTAAATTCTATTGATTTAATTGTGACGCATCACAAGTGACTGTAACATCTTTGCGTACATCATAATATTTTAGCAGAGGTGCAATACATATCATGCTTTGGAGTTGTTCATATGCATTCTGATGCTTACTATACCAGCACCACTGGACATTGTTATGTGTAAGTACCCTTATTGAGGCGGCTACTGTGCTTAAGTTTGGTGTGAACTTTAATAGCATGGTACAGTAGTTTAGCATACCAAGGTACTGCTGAAGCAATTAAATGGATTCCATGGCTGATATTTGCAACACCTTCACTAGCAATTGCTTATAGAAGTAGCTTTCTTTGATGGATTTATGCATTCTGTTTTGGTAATGCATTGGCAATTTGGATGTAGGCCTAGACTAGTCATTTTCATCTTATCTCTTCCGATATACTGGCAAGTGCGAGCACGCTAGGCCAAGAATGTGAAAGCTTTATGCACGACGCTACCGCATTTTCCCCTGGCCAGATGGATGCTGACAGCAATTCGGCCTATGAGTTAGAATGAAAGAAAAACACATTTTCAGGATATACGCCATCCATTTGACTGTCTTAATATTACTTTTAACACTTGACAGGTCTTTTTTATTATACAAAACTTGCATTATTGTAAACAGTATTCTTTGGTTAAAAAAAAAAGAAAAAAAAAACAACTTGCAGGTATAAAAAAAATAATAAAGCATTCGCATGGCTCGCATGATTTGCTCGCAATTTATTACAACCCCCCAGCATGCCACCTGATGGCAAATTTGAATTTTTGGGTCAATGGTCTTAACATAAAATAAAAAGTCGTCCTCGGCCTAGCCTAGCCTAAGCCTAGCCTAGAATAGCCTAGCCTAGACGTCATGATTTCATATATATGGATAAATAAAAGTCTCTTTCTTATGGTTTTCAAGTAAATTAATTCAATGTGACCTCAAATGGCAAAAATGAAAAGAAAAAAATGACCTAGAGTATTGGCGATACATACCAGCTTTAAAATGCTGTCACCAAATAATTTTGTTGCAATTTCTGTATGAAATATATAAACTATTGGACAAACTTAAAATTGTTGAATTGTAGAATAAGATATTTCTTTTGACTATAGCGGCCAATGAGTCAGAAAAATGTTGTTTGTATGATGTCCAGGGCTAGCCGTGTACACACGACGAATGTTTTCCATTCATGTTTTTTTTTTACTCCATTTCAAAACTAAAGGGTCAATACTGTGACTTTTATTATAGAATTATTTACCAAGGCTCAAACCAAAGGGAGACAAACAGAAAGACAGAAATATAGACTGAGAGACATAGTGACAGACAAACACACAGGCACACAGACAGTAGACTTATTATAGTTGCCCATTGAAAATTATAATAATAAATTACAGTACCTGTCTAACTCCTGAATAATATTAATTTTTTTGTTCATATATAGATCTTTAGAAGATGTTGATAGAATGGCCTACAGCAGAAGATACATAATACTTTACTAAATGCAATTAAAGCAAGTACATTGGTTTCATTGGCTACTTAATATTATGCCTTTTAAGTAGGCCTCATACATTATAAACCACGTATGCAATTTTAAACATAATGGATAAGACAGCAGCTGAGAGACTTTTAGAGGAGGCGGTTTCAGCAAATGATTCACAAAAACTAGAGGAAATTATTTCTGGGCTGGAAAGAAGAAACTTTCCACCAGACAAGTTAAAAGAATTGTTGAACAGTCAACTGTACCAAGCCATGTCGCATTCAAGCCAGGACATTGTGAGGTTCCTAGTAAAGAAAGGTGCTGATATAAATCACCACAATTCAATAAAGCAGTCTATTCTTTTCAGAGCAATTCATAGCACCACTGCAGAAAGTGAGAACATTCTGAAGTTTTTGCTGGAAAATGGAGCAGATATAAACCATAAGAATATAAATGGCCAGACAGATTTTATGGACTTGATGGTTAGTGATAAACTGACATACAGTTATTTGTTGGATATTGTTGATGCTGTTAGCAATATACAAGAAAGAGATCTGAGAACTGGTGGAAGCTATCTCCATATTGTCAGTAATCGCTGGGATGATGAAAGCAGGGTTGATATGCTAAATAAGCTGTTGAAAATGGGGTTGGATATAAATTGTTTAGACAACAATGATGATACACCACTCCACCTAATGGGTGGAATTGCATGTTGTTATTCAATTAAATTTCTTTTGGAAAACGGTGCTGATATCAAAGCCAGAAACAGAATGGGTGAAACAGTTCTGCATTACCTTGCATGTAGCAACGAATTCGATGGTTTCTCGGATTCATTGAAATTGCTAATAGATAAAGGTGCTGATATAAACGAGTTAGATTACGAAGGTCGAACATCTGTTCACCAAGCTTTAACTTCGAAGGACACGACCTGTGAATCTATCAAAGAGTTGATGAAATATGGAATAAAGATGAATGTACAAGACTATAGTGGACGGAATGAAATATTCTTTGCTGTACATGATGTAAAAAGCTATTTGAAGTATACTGAGGAGGCTGATTTGGAACGTCGCAGCGAAGTCATTAAACTGTTAGCAGAGGAAGGCGTGGATGTGAACACAGGCGACATGCACGGTATAACGCCACTGCATATGTCTACAACCCTTGGATCGGATGAGTTGGACATTTTAGTTACATTATTAGACCTGGGAGCTGACTTCACTAGAAAAACTAACACAGGAGCAACCGCTTTGCACTGGGCATGTAAAACCTATAACATGGCACATGTTTTGACTTTTTTTTATTTAGAAAATGGCAAAGACATCAATGTTAAAGACGATTACGGCTCAACAATCCTCCACTGGGCTGTTTGGCATAGAAAACTATCAGTCTGTCGGAGTGTGTTACAAGCTGGCGCTGATGCAAATATCAAAGACACAACCGGCAAAACACCTGGTGATCTAGCGCGAATTCTGCACTTTGACGATTTTCATAAGTTGCTGTCCACTTACAAAACACTGGAACCACTAGAAATACAGTACCCCGTTGTGGTATGCAATGGGAGTGATCCAATATTTAGTTGTCCAATTCTAAAATACATCAAAAAATTAGACCACAAAATTGATGTCCAGGAGTATATGAAGCATGTTGACCTGCACAAAGCCTCTCTGAGCAGGTCTGTCAGTATCATGTTAGGATTGTCCAATATGGGAATGTTTTATGACATTGAGGAAAACACCACTGTTCCAGAAAAAATTGACACCTTGATGTGTTCGATCGTTAACAAAGTGGCTGGACGAAATCCGTTGTTTTGTTGTGAATTGCGGTTGGCTGGCAGTTCATTTGAAGGGACAAAAGTACAAGTTAGAGATGAATTTGACTACATATGGAGTTTGACAGAATTCAATGAATCATTCGTTCCAGTTGAATCCTCGGTATTTCCAGAAGGTTTTGTTAAACTTCATATAAAAGAAGAAATGATTGGAGGTCGTTTTTCTCAGTATCTTGACAAAGACAACTTTCTAGACAGCAGATTTTTAACTCGACAGTTATTCAGTCTTATAAACGAAGAGGTCAAAAACACTCTCAAAGGCCACAATGACCTTGTATGCATAAAATTTCTTGATGAAATCTTCTGTGGTACTTCAAATTTAGTTTTCCACTATTTTGGACGCCAGGCAAAGTCCTTTACAATATCTGTAGACGTCGTTCCAACTATTTTACTTGCTGGGTGGACCCCTGTTGGATTTCATGTTCGGCATTCACTCTTGCTGCAGCATTCTACAAACGATTTGATATTTTCAGCAATTTTGAAGACACCAGACCGTGTGCATGTGGAGCACTATACCATGTTTTTTCGAGTATCATATGGTTATATCGAACAGGGCATACTACAATCAGTGCCATATGATGTTAAAAAAGGATACATCATTCTGAAATCGCTTGCTGAAACTGGATATTTTCCAAAGGTCGTAGACCATGATAACGATAGAACAATAAAAAAATTTATAACCAGCTACCATCTTAAAACATGCTTCTTACACGAACTAGAGAAGGCTAGAAATGAAGGCGATCTGGATCTGCAAGATACTCCAGAAACCCCTGTAAACAGAATTTCACTAAACTGGGCTAAAAGAATTCTTGACCGCTTGGAAAGTTGCATTCATAATGGATCTTTACCCTCCTTTTTTAACCCAAGCAAAAATTTGCTAGGTGTCAGTCTTGAAGGCATGTGTCATCAAGAGAACATCATAGAGAAAGATGCGCTAATGCAGTTGGTATCTTTGTTCCAATATCTCTTGAACACAGCAGATATCTGATCTGTTCATTATGTAAAGCACATGTTGCAACTATGAATTGGTGGCGGTGCCTAAACAAACAGGTTACAGAGTATTATTAGTTTAATCTGCAAGGTACATTTAGTTAAGTAAAAAAACAGAACTGTCTTGGGAAAATATTTGTGTAAAACAATACTAAGCAAAACAAATTCCTTAATGACATTTGATGTTCAAACAAGACATTTCGTATTTTTGTACATGTCTGGGCATTCATAAACATATCTGAGCTATGAAATCTCTAGTTTGTTTCAATTCTAAAGACTTTGGTCTTCATATTAGAAATTGTGTCTTGAAATAAAGCCATTGTAGACAAATCCAACAATATTCGTATGAATTGAAAAAGTACTCTTTAACCTGAAACACTCGACTAAAAGTCGATGTCGGATATACCCCCTACCTTTCTACCACACATGTTTGTATCCGACATCGATGCTATGATGTCGATATGTGAGTCGCGGGTTGTGTGAAGTGATCGTGTTGACACTGTATATACCGTAGTCCTGTTACCAAATCGTTCTTTGTTCTATGATAACTTTTCTTCAAATTTTGTGTTATTTGGTTTATTTTCTAGGTAATAAGAAACATTAACCAATTTTTTGGATGTCCTTTTACATAGTTTTCAAACAGTAAAGACATGGTAAATATGCTTATTAGAAAACCTAATGTTTTTAGAAACACCGATAGCCATATGTTTTTTAGGAGTGATAACCTTAATAATTACATACCAAGTTCGTTGTTATTTTTAATCTCAGCAATTTCTTTTCTTTTTTGCGTTTCTACAGATATTAACAAAAATGTTGAGATAACTACAAAATATTTTGTTTTTGGCAGATGGTATAGTAATATCATTTTTATAAAAAATACATTTTCTATGGGTGGACTGGAGAATAACAGATGTTATCCATGGCTGTTATACCTTAATTTTTTAAAGTAACAATCATATCATCATGAGTAAAAATTGAATAAATAATTTGCATATACTGTATTACAATTCTGTTCATGAATCAACTTTCTGCATATCAGAAATAAAAGCAGATTCATTCTGAAAATATAGTAGTAACTCAACTGTTTATCTGTTATATTTCTATTAGGTAAATTTTGGAAAATAGGAAAATGGTCAGAGATGTCCGAAGTTTATATTTCTGAAGCGATATTAGGTTTAGTTAACTTTAGTATAAATTTGGTCAATTAAAGTATCTAAGTGACTTACTTATACGAGTCGGTTTGGAAATTAATGGATAAAATGAGTGAAAGTGTAGATTCTAAGAACAAGTTAATACAGTAGGTATAGGGGTATCAGTTTTTAAAAGGTTGATATTAAGGTCATTCATAATAATATGACTCCTTTTGTTTTTAGTGTTAGTTTAAGATAATAACTTGTCAAATACTCGATTAAAATTTAAAATGGATGACTCCTAAATTTCAATAAATAATTATGCCGTAAGATCATCATGTTTATTTAAATCATGTCTTGGATAAAGAGTCTGACACCACCTCCTACTTGGTTATCGATATATTTTGAATAAAAATTGTATCCATTAAGAGATGGTTGGAGTGAATTATTATTAAACCAGGTGTCACTTATAGTTATACCAAATACAGGAAACCTGTGCTTTATAGTAGAATATTTAGTTGGTCAACTTTAGTTTGTGATATAATGCTAGGTTTACACTATGTTCCCAGTGGTCATGGCAGCCCTGTTTGCCCGAAACGTAGTGCGCCATGGAATTTTGGCCATTTTTTTCCTCCTCATTTTTTTGTAAGGTCTTGCTCAGTTTTCTCACGGTCTATCATGGTATCCTTGACTTGTCGTCGGGGAAAGGGCTGCTGAGTCTTGGAGACTCAACGGCGCACTACGGTTGGGCCCGCAGTCTACTACGGATGCCAATACGTTCCCTCCCGGCCTGTCACGTTCTGATGGGGCTTTCTATGAATGCCGGGCAGCTTTGGAGCACATTTTTACCCATGGTATAAAAAGCAGGCCTTCTTTCACTGTTTTATTTGTGGTGTTTTTCCTATTTATGTTTCCAGTTCCACTACGGACCGCCTCCAAGTTTTGTTACAGCCTATCACGTACTGTCATGTTCACTGCCTTTACTACGGCCAACTTGGTTTCTCATCCACACCGTGACTGCTTTTGCAAATTTTTGACATTTTAAAAATCTGCGCCAGCATCCACAGCAATCACGGTCTGACACATTTGCCATTCCCGTCCCCCCGAGTTGTCTGGTGGCCATGCTTCGTTATATAAACATTTGGAAAACATTTATACACGAAAGCCCCGTTCATATCCAACTATGGCGAGATAATTTTAGTGGATGAGCTAGATGATCTCGCCATAAGTTTGAGTATGACCGCTCAAGTATGGCGAGATGAAGGCCACAACGCTACTAAACCCGTCGAGTAAATTTATGTCGACTAACTTCTTAATCCAGCCTAAAGCCAGTAAACAATTAAACAGCGGGTGGCCACAGGTCACGAATACACCAATCAAATTGAAGCAAAGTGACCTTCGATGCTTGCTGGTTAGCACGTTTTTTAGTACTGTCATAAACACCATTCAGAATTGACGCAGTCTCCCTGATTTGTGTACTTTAATTTCAACAAGTCTTATTTTGCAAATGATGGCCGAAAAGTCAGTAAAGAAACGCCATCTCTGGACGTATGCGGAGGAATATTTAATAGATATCTGGAGGGAGCCAGAAATCGCCGAAAAAGTTGAAGATAAATTGTATCGTCAGAAGGCTAGTGTCCACGAAAGGATAGCAGAGAGAATGCGGGACTTAGGCCACAATAGCATAACATCGGCAATTGTTGTGACAAAGTTGAAAAATCTAAGAGCAGACCACAAAGCTGTGAGAGACGTTTTTATTCATGGGACGGGCAAGGGGTCGGCCAAAGTAATAAGGGATGACCCGAAATCGGCATGCCCACACTACCACGAACTAAACGAAATACTTGGGGGAAAACCCAGTGTAAACCCTCCAGCTGGACTCCTCGGCCAGTCTAATCAACCGCCGAGACCTAGGCCTAGCTTACGCCTATAGTCTCGATCTAGCATAAACTAGTCGCGCGAAAATCAACAGTAATTACACACCATGCGATTGTACTTCCTGTCTAATGATGTGTTTTCCGAATTTCTGGTAGTCATATCTCGCTCGAAACCTTAACGTCGAACACAATTAGTGGATTTAATCCAATTAACTTGGCAAGTAGATCAGCTACTTCATCTGGCTATAATCCCATATGAACCTAGCTGAACATTCAATTGGCAAGCACAGCTTGAAAGAGATGTAACGCTATAGGCAGCTTTGAGATACAATGTGCTAATCTTCTTACGTAACTCGGGAAAAGAATATTGACTACACATTCCATTACAAACTTAAAATGTAACATTATAACAAAATCTGTATTTCTATAATGAAGTTCAAGTTAAATGCCAAACAAAACTACTCCTTCATCAAGTTGAATATTTTCCATTAGGGCTGCTGAGATTCCGATCTGTATTTAATCACAGCAGGAACACTCCATACAGGGGCGGATCCAGAGATGTCCAAAAGGGTTGCCGAAAGGGGGCCGAATTTTGGGCTGATCAAAACAACAAAGATCTAGGGGGTCCGGGGGCATTCCCCCGCGAAATTTTTGTGTTCTAGACGGCCGAAAATAACATTTGAGGCGTTGTGGGCTATCATTTTTTTCTTTTTCTTTCTTTTTTTCTTTTGTTTTTCTTTTTTTACCTCCCAAAAAGGGGGGGGGGGAGCCCCGGGGCCAGGCCGGCCTCCCCCCCTAAATCCGCCCCTGCCATAGAATAATGGCAAAGTAGCCAATTTTTCTTTACTCGGATAACTTAGACTTCAGTTTATTACGTTGTTTATGGACATTTTGCAGAGACATCATCAATAACACGTAAACCGTACAGAAAGGATGTATATCAATGAAATAATTTAAAAATATACACAAACGCATATTTATGTGACTTGCTTGCTTACCAAATGATACATGCAGGTTGTTTATGGGAGATTCTATTTTGTGCTTGAGGGATGTTTTAAAAAGTAAATGAATATACAGATTAAAAATCAGAAACCTTACAGAAAGGTTGTACATAAAAGAGTAAAAAATATACACAAATACATATGCATGTGACTTTTAAGTCATCTTTTAAGATTTAAAAATCTTTAATTTATGTGCACACAAAGCTTCCAGGATGAGTTCACCCTTTAGTTGGTTCGTAATTTTCGTTTTTCCTATTGAAAAACAATATTAATATTTTTACTGTTACTACACTTTTTAGTATAGTAACAAGTTTTACTCTCTCTGCACCCCACCTTGTTCTACTTGAATAATCAGCGCTGTTGTGTTTTCAGTGCAGATAATGGAGCCCAAGTCCCGTCATAAGGTGAAATACACTGCCTGTGTGTACCAAGTGTAACAGGGAAGCTGTTTGGACATTATGTGGCGAGTGGAACATCTCCTTAGCATCTAATTGTTTGCACAGAGATTTAAGGTTTAACCAAACTTATCATATCCGTGTCTGATAATGCTATTTAGCATGTTTAATAACTTATGATTCTCTCATTAATTTTAATGAATAGTGTCTTGCAAATATACAGCATTTGAACCTCATTTGTCTTGAGTCATTGACACCGATCTGAACTCATTTAATTACTCAATTCATTCAAATTAATTCTCATACTATTCAAAGATTGGTGGCATGTGGTAGTAATAATTGTACCTTCCTGTTGCTAACCTAGTCTGAGATTCACCACACTTTACTTTCTCTAGTACAACTGACAATTTGCAGTACTTTGGTAGAAACATAGCCAATAAAAGGTGATACAACATGTAGAGGTATTGTGTGTTGGTAATGTTGTGCAGAAATTGGTGGGGGGGGGGGGGGGAGAAAGGAAGAAAAATAAATAATTGATCGCTCAAAACACCTCAGAGGATTTTCGGGTACAAAATATATTGTTATGTTTATTAAATAAACAAAACACTGAACATATATTGACAGTGATTTCTTAGTGTATCCTAGTTAATTTTGCAATGTTTTGGAGGAAAAGTATAAATCATTTGGAAGTAAAGATTATATATTTTGCATTTTGTAGAAGTCTCCAGTGGCAGTCTTGTGGCATTCCCATTCCTGATAAAGAAGGTTCCCATTCCCTGATGAGGAAAGTTTAATACAAATTAGGATATGTTTCATTTCCATGACACTTTAATTATTAGTAATCCAGTGCAAAAAACAAAACATCCTGGGTACAAATTTGCATTGATGTTCTCAGTATGCTTTAAAGCTGAACAAGATGTAAACTTGAACTAAATTAGTATCACAAATGTTATACCTTATCTTTAAGAAGAGACTTGAAGAGTTGTTTATTGGGAGAAAAATGTCTGCATGTTGGCTGCTCTTTATAATTTCTTCTCTGCAAATTAACTCAGATAAAGTTCAAGTTATTGAAAGTACTATGATAAAATGATTTTGGTATAACAAAACTGCAACAGGCAGAGTTCACTCTCTGTCCCTCTTATCTGTCATCCTTTATTTTTTTTATGTATGCACATTAAGATCTTCCTTCCTTATTTCATTAATACTAATCTGAAAACTTCTGCTTCCTAAATCTAATCTACATCATGACATCATCGGTAACATCTTAAAATTTATATTCAGGTATGGAAATTTGAAATCCAAAGGCGACCAATAAATTATTAAAAGCCTTTGCTATTTACCTCTATCTATTCCTCTCGTATAATGTCCTTTTCATCTGTAACTCCTCCCTCCCTGTCATAATACTCATCTAGCAGTAGTTGTCATTTTGATCACCACCGTTCTTATTGATGTTAATGTGGTAATGCAGTCTTGTTATACCATATGGAAATGCTAGGTACAATCAAGAGTGGAAAACCTTTTCTTAGCTTGTGTAATTCTAATGTAAACTTACATTTGTAAACAGTATTTTTATGATTTTAATGGATTAGTCTGTAACTGTTATTATTTTCCTGGCTCATCTGTGATCCAGACATTGACCTGGAATTGTATTTTATCTCCTCTCTTTTGTACATTTTATGGTTTTATTAAAAACAATAACATTAAAAAAACAATACTGTATATGCAGTCTTCATCTATGGCAAGCCCACCCCTGTTTACATGTGCGTCAATTTATTAAGTAATCGGATATTTGGTCTTTACTTGGGTCTCTGGAGAAAATTATACCAGACTTTGTCTGTCTGTAGAAAAGATATTAAAATAGTACTATTACAAAACATGGATAGAGATCTTGAGGCTAAAAGAATTAACTCTGTGATAAAATATCAGTTACGCCTTCGTGAGAGTCTGTTCGTGTGGATTGGAGGCCTTGACTTGATTGTGTGGTTCATGATTCAGCCTGGCTACAACCCGTAGGTGTGAACAGCACGGTTGAATGAGTGGCTATCCTTTTCAAATTATAGGCCTACATAAGTATAGGATTTATCCTCCACGGTTGAGTGATTCTCACTAACAGTACTGTAGTATATTAACAGATATTTTTAACAATGTATAGTGGTATTGCCAAGAGTTAGTGCTTAACAATTTAAATGAGCAAACAAGATGTGTATTTAGTTGATCAGCCCACAAGCAAGAGAATGTGTTAACAAAACCGGTATGTTAAACAGTTCATTTTCATACTTCTGTGTTGATTATAAATTATATATATTGAATGTAAGGAAAATATGTTAATTATGTGGATATTTAGAGTGTTTAACTTGTGCATTGAAAATTGGGGACAATTGTAGCTTGCATGTTTTACCATGCACTAGCTAGATAGCTAGCTAATTAAGGCCTGTAATGTCAGTAGAAATTTGGCATAAAGATAGAAACATTGCAGTTATAATGATAATCTTATTCTTACTAGTCTTATGCAGCCGCTTATTTAGAGTACATGTGCTGTTTTTCAGTTATAAAACACTTATATTTATAAATCATAATTTAATGAATTTATTCTCGGCAATATTCATGAAAATTTGTATGAATTTATTCTCATAAACTTAATCAAGATAAGCTGTTTGTTTGAAATACAGTACTATGTCTTGATAGTGTCTCCTAAACTTCCTGGTTTCCATGGACTTGGAAGCCTGCCCTCACTTGTACCTATTCCTCTCACGTTGGTCAATAAAGTACGATCAAGGACATTGCATCCATGTGGAAATCTATGTTAACCTCTTGTTGGTATCATACTCACAAGTTTCTACGTAGAATGACTAAAGCGAGTAAATCACTATTGTCTTTGTTATGGTGTACTCAAGTTCATATTATTGTCAATGGAAAACAAACACTTGAATAGTAAAAATAGATATTTGATTTTCTTAATTTTAATTGACATTCAAAGATGGAAAAGACTCAAAACTCATAAAATGACAAACTACATAACAAAATATATTAACTATAAAAACCTTAATATGTTAGGGAGGTCTGCTACCAGTTTAAAACTGATGAGATTCAATGAGCTAGTGAGCATTTTTTTTGTTATATGGAAAATTTGGTACTTTTCATCCCTACAAGTTTCCAGGTAAGTGTTGCTTTGAATGACGCGACCAAAAGTATTGTACTGTAATGTCTTTGTTAATAAGGCATACTTAGGTGGCTATAATACATTATCTCCTTCGTCACATAATTTTCTCAATTTTAAATTTAATTTACATTCAAAAGTGAGTGTGCCGGTAATTTGAGTTGAAATGAAATAACAGACACAAAACTTTGCCAATTACTCCGAAAAATCAGGAGATTCAATGAGCTTGTGGGCCTTTTTAAGTTGTTTCTAGCCAATATAAACCTACATTGTAATAATGAAGTGTTTGTTATACGAAAGTTAGAAATATGGAAAGTAAGGTACTTCAGTAACAGATTGAAAATCACATGATTTCCCTTCTGAATTAAGAAAACACAAGAACAATGATGTTCAGCAGTCACTTTCATGTAGGAATTGCTTCGAACTCACAGAGCTCCACTATTCAACTAATTTGAATAAACATCTTCCCACGAGCATACAATTCATTTTGTCGCTGATTGTTTTTTTATCTTGCAATAAAATCTACACATGATGGTATTGCCTATTGGGGCAGTGTGTGCCTCTCATATATCCTGCTGTTGCAGTAAATGCTACTAAATTTAGGTTTGTCATTTTACATCCTAAGCTATATATGGCATTGTGCCAGCTTATTTTTTAAATCAGTACATTATGTAAAATTGTAAAAGCTTTGATACAGTACACTCATTAGTTGTAATAATTGCTGCCGACAAAAATATGGAGAAACATTTTGAAAATATGTAATGAGACTGCTCAGAAACTAAATTTATTTTAAAGTTTTATAAACAGTATATAAGTTGTAATAATTTATAAATTATAATAGATACAATTCTAATTTTTAATTTGGTAATCACTATACAACTGAAATTACTATCAAGCTCTTTTGATTTGTTCAGCATGTACTCAGGTGGCAGACCATACTGCACACAAATTAAAATTTTAAAATTGCATTGGACTACAGTCTGCATTGCATTATTAAACATGTTGTCTGCTTTATTTTTAAATAGAAAAGAAAAACTGAACCTTCACCTGAAAAACCAAAATGAATGATGAGAAATAAATGGACAGGCGAGAGGAAGATTTGAAAAGAAACAAGTAAGAAGATGGAATCTAGAGAGAATATGGAATCGCAGCTTCAGAGTCTGAATCGACTGAGCATAAACCTTGATAAAGACTTAAGGGAAAAGTCTCAATTCCATGGTAATTAATACTAACATTTGTATTGACTAAGTGGCAGTATTCCTGCCGGCTAAAAATATTTTGAATCTTTTGCAATGTTGGCCTGCCCCATGACTGCCGCAGGCCCCAACCAAAAGTAACAATTTAAATCTGATATGAGGCCAAGACTCGGATTCTTTTTTGAACTTCAGGACCAACTTGGTTAATTTAATGTTTAATTATTTTTAATACCTGATTCACGGGTAGAACAAAATTTAACAATTAATGTAACAGATTGTTACGTATGGAAATTCATCATACAAGCACACTTTCTATTCATGTAAAGGTTTCATTAGACATGAATGATTGATGAAGCCAATAACCAACCCTAGGATAAGCCTACTTAAACACAGACTGTTCCATATGTAGTGAGGTACTACATTTCTAATTATCTGTATTATTTGTAAACTAGTTTTTTTATGCTTGGGCCTTGGCTATGTATCTAGGTTATTTATGTGATTAAAAACTCTCCAACTTCACTTCAAATATTTTTAGCAACCAAAATAACATATAGCTCAAACTTCTTTCTGACTTTTTTAACATTACTTAATAATAATAATAATAATGATAATAATAATAATAGTAATAATAATTAAAAATGTCATCTTATTTGGCACAAATATCCATCTCTAGCAGAGCTGCTCGCTGCACCGTTTTTCACCTGCAGAGTGTAGCCTTTTTTCTGCATTTTTTTCTGATTTTATTTGTTTATTTATGCATTTATTTTTATGTAAATTCATCTTATAACAAAACTGACATCAATGGGCAAAATAAAGATGCAGATACTCTTTGGGGTCACCATCCATCACCACCCTGGCGCATTCCTGGAACTCTGCCTAGGTGGCTCGAACAAAGGAAACGGAAACAATCTGAGAATTAGACAGTAATGGCAAATAATAATACCATGTTTATACAGCACCAGGCTGAAAGCAGATCTCTCTAGACGTTTTACATTAAGTCTTTAATTATGGCGAGAAACTCAGTTCCCTCCCAGACACAACCCGGTATTTCCGATTGTTGGTTTCAGACCTATTAGTTACAATGGTTATTTCTAACTACAATCACTTGACTTCCTTTTTGATACTGAAAGCTAAAACTTTTGTAACAATTCAAATTGGTTACACAACAATTATTTTGTATATTGTCTTTAAATTTCTTTGTAGATGTGACTGCTAGAATATTTCAGCTGATAGGTAGTGGAGATGTCGGTGAACTTGAATACTACTTGTCAACCCACATCAAGTCTGAGATTGTTAAACACACTCTGTTCCCCCTTCATGTTAACAGACGACGCAAGAGTTTAAGCTCCACTGCCCCACCGTTCCTCAATGTAGCCTGTGAACTAGGGTATCGCAGTATTGTGGCACTACTACTAGAATATGGAGCAAATCCTCTTCAAGAAACAGAGGAGGTAAATATTACCATTATCAAATATAGGCCTATGGTCAAAGGTCAAATCTAGAAAATTCCATTATGTTGACTATAATATGTACAGTGTAGTTATTGTAAGAGCACTTCCTAGGTAAAAACTCTCTTAAAATCTTGCCTTATTTGCATTTGTGAATAGAATGAAATTCTTCATTCATAAAAGCATTTGTCCTTCATCTCCTTTGACATTTTCATCAGCTTAATGGTTGCTAGAGTACTCTAGTGTTGTCTATATGCAGTGGACGGCTTCAGACTGTAATCTGTTGTATGTATACAGAGGTTGCGGACACATTCATATTATGGCGCATTGTTGCTGATGCAACCCCTGGACCGTTTGATGTCAAATATACGAATGAAATGAAAATGAAATTATTAGGGCCTTAAATTTATTTCAAAATTATACAAAAATGACGTATTGATTATTATTGTATATTTTTGGATAATACTGTAGTTCAGCTGCTCCAAGTTTCTTTCCAATTTTTCTTTCTTTTATTATTATTATATAAAAATCAGTAAACATAGGGCCTAAGGTACTACTAGAACATAGGGCTTGAAACTTTCGTAAACATTTTGCGCATTATAGACAGTTTAACATATTTCATTCTTCCTATTCCTAAGCCGAAGTTAGCTGGTCTCATGCCAGTCTTAGGCCACTTTAGGTAGGCTTCCTCCATAAAGGCTTCTACGAATGGATGTCTTGTTGTGGAGCAGGAAATCAAGTTGTCCCTCTCCAGTATCGCCTGGATTATAAATTGATGGAAATGTTACCGATGACTACTTTAATAATAACCCACCCTAAATTTAAAAAATAGCAACCCAGGGTTATTATTAAATGTTTTATCGTAGTTCATTATTTCCGATAAAGAAATTTCTAAAGTGGTTGTGTTTTTAGTGGTACAGGTGCTTGCCTTCCAAACCAAGGTTCTGGGTCCAAAGTCTACAAATCCACTTTTTCCCTTAAAGAAGCATTTAACGATTGTACACATTTATTTTGTCTTTATAGGGGACGCCTCTTTATGTAGCTACTTTGAATGGTCATGATTCTATAGTACAACTGTTGGTGCAACAGCGGCCAGGTACGTAACCTTCAAGGTTAAGCAGTCATTGATGAATAATATTTGAATGATCAATATTGTACAGGTATTGTACCTTGACCTTGATTCAACAGTGTATCTGAGGTATCTGAGTTATGAATAATCACAAGTATCAGGTGCAGTTGTAATCAAAATGACCAGTCCTGAGAACTTGACATTTGGGGAACAGTGAGTCAGTGATCACTTCAAAATGGTATTGGTTTTTAGAATAACAGATACTTGCTCAGCTCCAGCCTTTGCGGAAATATAATATACATTGTACCTGCTTGTTAAAGCACCCTATATAACCATACCACAGAGCACCTTTTTTAAATATATATAATGAGAAAACTGTACATCACTAATCAGACTAGAGTAAAAGAACAGAAAACCATCACACTGTTTACCTGCAACTACGCGAGTAATCAGTGGTTAACTTTTTCATAGCTCACAGGTGCACAAAAGATGTCTAGTCTAATATAAATTAAGAGGGTGCAAGAAGATGTCAAAGAGATGTTTCTTGAGATGTCTCTTGGATGATGACACACACTACCTCCTTTAAAAGAAGATGGTTCCACAGAAATGTGACAGCGCAGAAAATGCCTAGATATGCCACTGCACAGCAAATCATGAATCTTAAGATCCTATTATCATAATTAGTATAATCTTAACCAATATTAAACATGTTACCATGACAATCAGATGCATCCTAGTATATCTTGCTGACAGATTTATTATAGGAAGGTTTTTATCTAAATTCTACAAATTTCCTGCCAACTATCACTTAGATCTTAATAACCACTGACAACCTATCATCTACCAATTGACAGTATTAAACCAGGAAATAAACACATCGTCTACATAGTTCAGTTAAACTTGCATTTATGAGTAGGATTTGTGTATGATATTAATTCACATGTCTGCTATTCCAAGCTGGTAGTATATCGCATGAATGCATCAAGGTACTGTGTGTAGTGATACTTCCTGAAAAGCTATTTGGCCTGTCATCTAATTTTTAGGGTGGAAACCCTTATCAGCATTCCTTACTCAGTGATCTACAGGAGTTTTTGCCATCCTATGGCCTAGCTAACACTTTCATATACATGCATGTTGCATTATAAATACCACAAATTTATTTTGTAAGTACTTATGTTAATTATTCATATTTGTTTCTTGAGCAAAAAGAAAGTTATCTTTACTTTCTTAAATGAAAAATGATTTAACTTACAGAAAAGTAATGCAATTAAATGTCAACATTCAGGAAAGAATATAAACGAATTATATGGTTCATTGAAAATCAAATGTTTAAAAATATAAAATAAATTTAATAAAGTATATATAATTACAGTAATAGTAAAGTACTATATGTATTAATAACATCAGATTGCAAGAAGAAATAGTATAACAATAATAAAAATAATATTGATAATATAGATGGTAATATCATAATCGTTTAAATGTCCACAATGTGAATTAGAAAGGTTTTCCGCAACATGACCTCATTATCTGTACCTACGCAATTAATTGAACAGGATTATCTGGTTTGGACGTCAGCCATTTTCTGCTATGTAAGACGTCATCATGTGATGGGCAATCTCTTTCATTTTCATTTGTGTCATTTTAGGATTTGAGGGCAAATATTTAAATGATGAAAAACATGTTATGATGGGTATCAATGCTCCATTGCTCTGCTTCTCTCAACGTATTTACAGGTCACAAATTATTTCTGATATTCTCATAACCGCCCATGTATTAATATTTATTTTACTGAAAAGGTGCATACAGACCTAGGTATGATGGAAAATGGATTTAACAAATAAAGTACATAAGACTATTATATTAGTAGGTTTTGGACAATACCTGCTAAAAAAATCATAGAATAGAGAAATGGATTGGAACATGCAAAGGTACTTTTAAAAAGAATGAAATTATAACTATACCAAATATGAAATACTTTATTGCAGTCTTCATCAGACTATACAGTTTCAAACTGAAGTTGAACTAAGGTAATCAAAAATGTCGTACAGAACACTCAAAAGTGGATTTAACAAATAAAGTAAACCAAATAGAAAGACAGTAGTTTATGTATGAATGAATGATTGAATAAATATATTCGGAAAATTTCAAATCACATAAAACACAGGAACAAGAAAATTAAAAATATACACAATAATAAGAAAATTCCAAGGATAACTCAAGAAAGCCAAAAAAACTGTCCACACTTAAAAAACAAAGACAGAAACATACAAATTGATTTCTAAAAAGTTGAGTGAATAAAATTATGACAATTATATAATTATAACTTTAATTAATCTGAGACCTTTCAAGAAAGAGCGATTCTTTTTAACCAGTAGGTGTTTATGTGTTTTTTTTTTTGTGAAACTAGAAAAAACTTTGTATCCAAATATGGTTTCATAATTAGACGGAGCTTAATAGGTGACTTCAAATTTGTGACCAACAATTTCACTCTTTTTTTTAGAAAACTACCTAGAAATAGCACAGATTATTGTCGAGAATAGAATTCAAGATTGTACATTGGAAACTATCGATATGTTTCCGGGTGTGATGACAAACTTGTTGGAGAGATGGGTGCAACCTTACGGACACGAATCACAGGTAAGAGCTGAATTTCTTAAAGGTGAGTTGGTAAAAATGTCTTAGGCTGGATGCGCTTTGTTAACAAAAGAAACCGAAGAACTCTGTAAGTATTATGTAGGAATTTAGCATGAACTTGCTATTATGTGGCATCAAAGGCTATGCAGATAGGCAGAGTACATCAGTTAGCATATTTGAACAATGGTGAGAGTAACTTGGGAAAAAGGTGTAGAGTTATTCAAACTGACTTAGGGCATAGAGCTTAAAATGATAGTTGGATTACTACAGAGGAACACGAGATGTACCACTATAAAATAAAGAAAAGTCGCTTTTGCTTACCATTGAGAATAGTCAGATATTCTCAGAGAGGCACATAAATTTCTTTGCTTTTGTAGTAATGTTTGTCTAATGATATACTTTTTGTTATGTGATTCTTTCTGTTGTGGTGTCATCGTTTTTGTAATAATGTAATTTTTTTTAATGTAATTTCAGAAATTAAAAGCCTACTGGAGTGGAAGAGGACTTCATGCATTTCAGGAGTTCTGGATTAAGGAGCCTACCTATCGTGATTATTTATATGCCATTGATCTGTCGGACAACCATGATCTCCGGCGCATTCCAGCCGAATTGATCTGGTCACATCCTTATTTGGAAATCCTAGACATTTCCAACAACCTGCTAGAAAGTCTACCAGAACCACTCCAGGCAGATGTCTCCAACAATTCCAGGTATTGAAGTTAAGAAACAGAAATATTTTTTATAATAGTGTTAAAAAATTAGCTCATTTCATGGATTTAAGCTGTTCATAGATTCTGCTATTATCACAACAGTTTCATGCTGTGATATGAACAGTAGTGCAGAGAAGAGGATGGGGAGTGGCAGGGGAAAAGGTCCTCGGTTTTGTGTAGAGTTAAAATTAGACACCTAAATTTTTTTAAAGTCCATGGCTAATGAAGTTTTTTAGGTCCTCACTTGTGCTTTGTCACTCAAGCACCGTCAAGAGGATTATACAATGGTAATTAAAATGTTTAGGGAATACACACAATTGATAAGTCAATGTAATCAAATGATTTTGAAGAATGACACTTGACCTTTAATATCCTTTTCTATTCTTGCTAAGGCTGGTGAATATCAATGCTTCCAGGAATGAGCTGCATTCAGTACCCTTGGCTTACTTCAACCTACCGCACCTGCAAGTCCTTGACCTCTCGCGCAACCTGCTGACGTCACTACCAAAGGCCAGCACCACCAGTCTTTGGCAGTGTCCAGATTTATCTGACCTAGACATCTCTCGTAATCAACTCTCAACCATTCCCAAATCTATAGAGGGTGCTACACAACTTACTAAGTTGAATATTGCGTATAATAAATTGAAGTGTCTACCAACAAGTTGGAACTGCCCATTAGTAAGTGAACACATGTCTGGTGTTTATGTTTTTTCTAAGTCTAATTGTACGATTACATATGTATTTTGGTAGATGTGAGGATCAAGTCAGCTTGTACACAATAAAAGGAGCGAACAACCATTAAATTACTCAGTGAAAATATATTCAATAATCTGTTATGTTTAACTAGGTCAAAAGTTGAAAATCACCAAAATCACAGTTGTATTGTCAATAACTTGTAACATCTAAATTATGTACTCGCATAACACTAACACTAATTACAACCATACATACCATCGCAACACCACTCAACTACGCTGACGTCATCAACAACGCACATATACGGTCAAATTGATCGGTTATCATTGTCCGTTTCAAACATACATACAATACAGTTAGTGTCCACCAACAGTTCTTGTCCTCAGTGCAGACTGTTCTACAAAATAAAGTTCAGTATCCAACCTTGTTTTGCTGTTCCGCATCCTGACACGGCCTGGAATCCAAAAGCAATGCGTTTACAATTCCACTTGGCATGGGGATTTGTTCCACAGCCTGGCTTGGTCTGTATTCCAAAGCACAGACCAGAGGTTTCAGGTAGCCTTAGGTAATCAATGCCCAATTGATGCACAACTTGTGGTGTACCACCTTGGTTTATGCAGTGCCTAAAAAAGACTTGGCCACTTGCACACATTCAAATACAATACAGTGTAAGCTTTAACCAAAATAACAAATTGCAGCTTTAAACCCCTTAGGCCTAGCTCAGAAAACTCCAGCCTTCTAGACCACCAACTTCCTTCAACCAGTCAATTCAGCCTAATCACTGGTGCATGCAAAGCTATACATTTACATAATAACCATCACTGCACCTGCATTTCAAAGGTCATCAGCAGCCAATCACCACCACTCATTTTTTTATTTTACATTGATTTGATTTCTAGTATTATAGTGTGGGTAATAATGGTTTGGTACTTAATCTATGATATGGATACTGGATTTAAAACAGATTACATTAAGGATCATTAATTGTTTTAATAATTAAAATAATATTGAGGAGGATAATGATAATAAGATGGCTCAATAAATATAGCAAATGGAAAAAATATCCTGGTGATCAGTATATTGTTAGAATGACAATCCATGTATTCACATGATGACTTAGATGGGTACATACAGTACTGCTACTGTATGCTTGTTGAAATATAAATTTCCTGGGATCTTCAGCCTATAATTGGTTGAGTTACAAACACATGAATGTATGCAACCACCTCTTTATTTTAAATACTAATATATATAATGATGATAACATTTTAAGTTAACTTTCTTACCTTTCTAGGAAAGACTTCATGCTGAGTTTAATGCCATCACTACTCTGCCCTCTGACCTCGACAAATTTTGGAAACGGACTTTACAGTACTTGAATCTTTCTAACAATGGTATTGAAGCCATCCCACAATGCATCACTGAACTCATCGCCCTCAACTCTCTGAAATTGTCACGCAATAGCATCCAATCATTACCAGTGGAGCAAGACTGGAAAGTTCAAAGGTTAAAGCACTTGGACCTGTCTCACAATTTCTTGGTCTTTCATCAATCTCAGCAAGCACAGGCATCTACAGAACAGTAAGAAAAATACAGTACCTGAATATGCAAATGAGTAAATGAATAAATATATTTAAATGAATTAATTAATTAGTATGCAAATAAATATGCAAATATTGTTTATTTAGTTAGCATTCATTCAAATACAATATAGAATAACAATGGCATACAATAAATGAAAAAGAAAAAAAATTAAATTGCCAGAATTGACTAGAAATGGATGCATAGACGGCATCATTCATCCATTCTTCGTCTAAACTGGCGAAAGTTAATTTATTTCCAATGGGGTCTGAAATATCCACATAGAACATGATTTTAAAAATCACTATTAAAATGTTATGTCAAACAAAATGGAGTATATTTTGTCTTCATTTTTAAGGTCATCTTTATCAAAACTGAAGAAGAATTTCTTGTCAATTCGACCGTTTAGTTCTTCGTCATCAGATGAGCAAACCTGTAATCTACATATACAAACATCGCTAGCCTTTCCTGCTGAGATCCAAAATAGCTTAAATATCTTATCCTTAGCTCACAACTTAATGGAAGCTGTTCCGGATGGAATCACTACCATGTGTTCTCTGGCTGAACTGGACATAAGTGGGTAAGTCTCTTCATTTCATCAACTAAATTTTAATTGATAACTTTGAATAGTAGTATTATTAAAGTTGTTACTTAAACAATTGAAGTTAATGTAATGATATCATACATATTTATCTTTGTTCATTTTGTAGAAATTCCAAAATTCAAAGTATCCCAGAAGAACTAGGACTTTTAAAGAACTTGGATATCCTGCGATTTGATGGTGTGCGTCCAACTAATCTACCCAACCACCTGATTCCAGACATTGCACAAAGGAAAGTACTCACCAAAGACGTGCTGCGATGTCTACGAAATAGTCTGCGCAAGGCTGTACGACACCTCGGGATTAAGCTCCTTATTGTGGGGCCAGAGGTGAGAAAAATATGGAGGATAGAGACCTATCCCAGAACACGCTGTTTGTATTTAATCTTATATAATACGCCCTGTCATAATCGCATGTGCTCACAGTTATGAAGATCAAAGCATATTATTTGGCATTTGTATTTATGATTTGACAGTTCTGGAATAATATATGGTATTCAACATATGTTAACCATTTAAAAAAGTGTAGATGAATGTATAAGCTCTTTTAGTGTTTTTTTTTTGTCATACTCATCGGATTGGAAACTACATGAAGGCTTGTACTACTATTAAATGCTGCTAATTCTGCTACTGCAGCAGAAGGAGTAGGACTAAAAGTACTACTGCTACTATTACGGTATAATATTACTCATTTGAAGCCTACATGTGGTGCCCTGTTAGACTACACCGGCACTGTAGTGAACCGATTGAGCACATCAAGTCCAAATTTGTGATAACAACACCACATTCAACCATTGCCACTGATTTTGGACAAACGAACAAACTCAACTAATTATAAATTGTATGTTTTTTTTTTCAAGAAATGTGGTAAAACAACATTATTAGCAAGTTTAAAGAAAGTTTCCAAGAAAGAAATTTTAGAAACGAAGATTGAAAACTCTTGTATCAACATTGGTGATTGGAAACTCAGAAATTATTCCAATAAAAAGTCTACTAAGGTTTGTGCTACTATTTTAGTTATCCATATCAATGTCTTGTACACATGCATTCAGTGAGCTTTCCAGAATGAAGAAAGATTTTATATGAATTAAAGTAACGATTCCTCATCACTAAAACTAACTTTTCTCTTCCTCTAAGTTTAGTTATTTAGAGTCAAGTTATTTTTTTGGTATATTTCTCTGTCTGTAGGATGTTGATATTGTGATTACGTATTGGGATTTATCAGGAGCTGAGAAATTTGACACGATCAATCAGTGTTTCCTGACTCCACATGCTCTCTACCTTGCTGTATGGGACATGACAGAAGGCATCGAAGGAATTGAAAAGCTTCGTCCTCATCTCCTCAATATCCAGGTATAGTTTTGCATTCACACCTTCCTTTTCTACACACCCACTCTCCCACGCCACAGCTGATCAACGTTTCCTGAATAACTATTCAAACCCACTTTTTACGATTACAGTGTGCAGTATCTTTTATCCCATACCATGCATCTTTAGTTGATTCAAACTTTTATTGAGCACCGTTTATGCAGCTGTTTTTGCGCAAAAAAATCACTGTCTTAAGTGCATTACATAAAGATACAACTTGTGTCTAACAATTGTGTGTCGCCAAATCTATTTTTTCGTACTTTTTTTTAATGAATACACTGTGAAATCATATTTAATAATTAACACCCCATCATCTACCAAATCTTTATAAATCCACATTTCTTTTTATATTCAGGCAAGAGCACCCAAGTCTAATGTGATCCTTGTGGCAACTCACAAGGATGATTACACCGGAGCAGGGGAAGATAAGCAGAAGTTGATGGAACACATCAAGGCATGCTTCATCCATAAAGAAGGCTACCCACACATAGATGGAGTAATCACTTTGGCAGCTACCCAGCCCAACAGCGATGCTATGAACAAGCTAAGAGAGTTAATTTACTCAGCTTCAATGATGCTGACAGATGGCAAGGAAAAGCTACTCCAGAAACAGGTCAGTAAGAATTTTGTTCATGACATAATGACAATCAACCATGTTCAGTTGTTTACTATACATGGAAGTCTAGGCTTGCGCTACCACTCAGGATTTGTTTATGCTGAAATTATCATTACTGTTATTGCCAAAAAAATATATATGTATATTTCCAGTGGTTATTAATTATTTGTTCATATATAACAGATTCCATTGAGTTATATCAAGCTGCGAGAGAAAATCATCGCTAAGAAAGAGCAGCTACTGAAATCTGCGCAAGAAGATGCTATTCCTCCAGTTATGACAGAGGCAGAATTGAACGACCTTGTGAAGCAGATTCCAGATAACGACATCACCACTGACGATGACCTCCAACAAGGTATCTGGGCTTCGACTACAAAGAGCTTGAATCCTTTACTAAACATGAAATAAATTCAATTTTAGTGCTGTGCTGTACATCAATGAATAAAGCATGATTTACTGTTGACTCTGAGGAGGTCAGTCTGCCTCTTTGTTGTTACTAGTACAATTTAAAATTTCTATTTTCTTGTAGCGGTGCTTTTTCTCAACCACACTGGAACCATCTTGCATTATGATGAACAACTTCATGGTTTAAACACCATTTACTTTCTTGAGCCAGCGTGGCTTAGTAGCATACTATCTGTTGTTACTAGGTTACAACCCCATTTGGTAAGTATCAGAACTTATATCATCACCAAAAAATGTTTTCATTCTGTCAGTACAGAAAGATAAAAGTGAAGTATAATTGAAATGGCAGTCAGTAGTAGTATATAGATGTCACATCACATCACCTCTGTTCTCCGAGACCTCCACTGGCTTCCCATTGATTACCGCATTAAGTTCAAAATGTTGCTACTTACTTTCAAAGCACTTCTGTTTAAGCAACCTATCTATATTCATCAGCTTACCCATATTTATGTTCCTGTATGCATCCTAAGATTATCTGATAATTTTTTTGCCAAGTACAATTTAAAATAACAGTAATACTTGTTAGTGATAAGCAGGCCCGTATCCAGCTTTTTGAATGGGGGGGTGCGTTTTCCGAGCGCAGCGAGCAACCAGGCTGGGGCCAGGGGGCCGCCCAGGGCCCCCGGCCGGGGTCCAGGGGCCGTAGGACCCTGAAAAATTTGCTTTCTTTCGTCCTAGTAGACTAATTTGAAGGCATTTTATCATGTTAATCTATATTACGTCCGTGAACACAGCGATAGAGCCTATAAAAATATTACCAGTGGAGGACCTCCACTGGCTTCCCATTGATTACCGCATTAAGTTCAAAATGTTGCTACTTACTTTCAAAGCACTTCCGTTCAAGTAACCTATCTATATTCATCAGCTTACCCATATTTATGTTCCTGTATGCATCCTAAGATTATCTGATAATTTTTTGCTCTAAATTTCCCGCACATCCTTAAAAAATATTGGCCTTAAATCTTCTTTTGCCGCACCTACGCTTTGGAATTCACTCCCTGAACACATTAAAAACTGTTCTTCTGTTGCTCCATTTAAAAAATTACTTAAAACTCACCTTTTTCATCATTAACCTGCAAAACAACTTTGATAATGCACCTCGGTCAGATGTTGTTAAATATTTGTATTTATTGTCAAAATAATCGCAACAAATTCTTAAAACTGTATGAATTTGTGTAACTTACTCAAACTTTTCTGCAACTCTCAGTTGTCATGATCACTGCTTGAATTTATTGTAATTGTAATTATGTTGTTATTTTTCTCTTGTAGGTTGAGCAAGGAAGAATAGAGAAGTGTACATTAAAAGAACTGTTAGCAATGAATAGATGTCGTGATGATTTGATAGAGCGGTACATTCAGCTTTTGGCACGCTTTGAAATTATCCTTCCGTATGATGATAACAAGTAAGTTTAACAAAGAACTATAAGCTGTAGTTCTACTACTGCTGAAGAACTATTAGAGAAGGAGAGCTAAACTAGTATGGATATTTTTTTAGATTGTCTGACGAAGTAGGAGCTCTACTCTGAGATAAGAAATGGAAGATGATAACCCCAGGAGAATGACCTAAACTTAAATCACTCAAAATCATATAATTGTGTCAGGGGGTAAAAAACGAACGCAAAAGATGTGATGCCGCTCATTATTTATTATTATTTTTTCCATGATTCTCATTCAGGTTCATCATTCCTTCGAAGCTTCCAAAGGAGAAGCCAGGATTTATCCTGAATACTAATAAATTTGGGAAGAAGGCCCTGAAGATCCAACGTCTTTACAAGATGGCTTTCATTCCCACTGGTTTCTGGAGTCGTCTTGTTTCCAGACTGATTGTCAATTTGCAGTGGCTTGAAAGCACAGGAAGCGGCAACTCTAAACATGTCAGAAAGAAACTGCGGAACATGACACTTGGAGGGTCAACCATTGTCAAGTAATTATCACTACTTTATTATAACCTCATATAATAATGTTAATGATGGCCAGTGGCAACACTGAAAAATCTTATCTTTGGTAACTTTTGTTAGTTTCAAAGACCAATGAATTTCAGTATTTATTTTATTAGTAAGAATAAGTCCTGCAATTGTTAATTTAGCAAGGTATTTTTTTTGCAACTGTATTTCAACTATATATGTTTCATCACATCAGTATTGCATTGTATAAGTTGTAAGATTTCAGTATTTCATAACCTTCTGTTACAGGCGGCAGTCCTTCATCATGGCAGGTTTTAAGTGGGATGGACGACAAACCATCTACTGGCGTCAAGGAATAGCAGTGACTCAGGGAGGCAACAAAGGCTTCTTCATTGTCGAGCCGTACTACTTCCATCCGGATGGGTCGATGGGAATTAGCATTTCCATTGAAAGCTACATGGGTGATTTTTCTCCATTGGGATTCATAGTTGATCAGGTGGAAATGCTGATACAGGAGTGGTACCCAGGTATGTTCATTGATCAGGGAATTGAAGTGTGTCTCATATAATAGTATACATATACGCCGCCTCGTTGAATGGAACAGTCAATCTTTCAATGAATGAAAATATTCTTTCCATTGTATGAATATGAAACATTCATTATTTGTTTTATAAATAGATCTAAATAGATCGTTTCGGCCTACGGGCCTAGGCCTAGCTAGCCTGGCCTGGGCTACGCTTAGCCTGGGCTAGGCCTATTCTCCACGCAAAACTAGTCCTAGGACTAGAAATCCGTCAGTGCATTTCGGAATATTCTACGCAAGTTTGAGCTAGTTTTTGAGATATCCACGCAATTAAAATACTTTACAGTAAATAAAACCCTGCACAACGCTTGAGAGTCATGGTCAAATCAAAACAAAAAAGGAATAAGATTATAGGGGGGCGTACCGGCATTTCTGGATTTAACCTTCCAAAAAAATTCATTGTATCCTAGGCAACGTGCAATGGACGATTCTGATGGGGAAAAAATGCACGATGGAACAAAATTTCTAAAGTGAACAATGAAATGTTCACAATAACTAATGTCACATGGTATGAAATTTAATTAACCAATCAAATGACTGGGATCTATTTAGGTGTGTTATAATAAATAATTAGCCCATATTAATCCTTCAAAGCGTCAGCTTCAGACATCCACAGACCTCTGACCTGCAGGAGTAATACATCAGAAGCACTTTGATTAGTATTTAATCATCATTGTTTGTTTTTTTTTTGCTTAGGGTTCAGTGGTGATGATATACTTGGAGGGACTAAACTGTTGGAACGTCTGGTTCTTTGTTCTGATTGCTTATCGAAACAAAAGGCGGAGGTGAGTGTTCGTCAGTCAGTGTTCCAGGGCAATATTCATACTTTCACGCTGACTGAGTGTGCCGTAGCTGTTTGCAATAACGCGATTGACCTTATATGTCCCAATCATGTTGAACTAGAAGTTCCTTTGAAGCTACTAGTTCCTGATCTCCTTTTGGAAGACATCTCTGTCACAAAAATACTTGATGAAGATTTGCATTTGATTAAGGAATTAAATTCTGGTGGGTTTGGAGTCGTCTATAAGGCAAAGTACAAGATGGAAAATGTTGCTGTCAAGAAATATCATTCAACTCCATCAAAGTCCAAAACGAGGAGAAGTGGTCATCATAGTCAGTCATCATCTGGTGGAGAGGAATCAAAATCTGCAACATCTTCTCTGGGGCTGCCATCAATAGAAAATCTCTCTGAGAAGGAGATCAATGACATTATTAGAAGCTTATCCCAACTGCGAGCGGAAGTGTCCTTAATGTCTCGATTGCATCATCCATTTATTATATCCCTCATTGGGTTATCTATTTCAAAACTTTGCTTTGCGATGGAGTACGCTCCACATGGAGACCTCATGTCATATCTGGATGATCAGAGCAGTCGAAGATGTGCTTCAGCCAAATTTGGAGCCGCTGAACAAGGACTGCCTTTAGATGTTAAGCTTACATTCAAGATTGCTAATCAGATTGCAAGTGCATTATCTTATTTACACAAGAAGAGTATAATATACTGCGATCTCAAAACAGACAACGTGCTGCTGTGGTCGCTGAATGTCAACGACAAGATCAACATAAAAATGACAGATTATGGCATTTCTAAGGTAAACATCATGCAGGGGGTGAGAACCTCAAAAGGTGCCCCCGGATTCCGAGCACCAGAAGTGGAGAGGGGAATGACTTTCGACCAGAAGGTAAAGTGCCTGATTTTTTATACTACAGTAGAACCCCTTCCCTAATAAGGGGACACCATAAAATGTTTCCCCTTAATAGGGGTGTCCTGAATAAGGGTTGGCTGTAGTGTTGAAACATACTTTCACACATTTCATGGCTAAAATTGTGTCCCTTAATTGAGGTATCTCCTGAATATTGGTGTCCCTTTAATAGGTGTTTCTCAAGGGCGGGGTTCTACTGTGCTTCATAAGTTTTAGAATCCATACACCGAGGTGAACTTAACATGTTTGCATGCTCAGATGATTTCTTAGTGATGTCATTACATTCTAAGCATGCAATCAAAAGCTTCCTATTGCTTAAAAATATATCTTAAACCATGTGTGTATGTAAAATAATTGTTTAAAAACATTTTTTGACATTATAGGTGGACATTTTCTCGTATGGAATGGTTCTGTACCACCTGCTGACTGGGATGCCCCCATTCCATGATCAAGGGCGGGGTGAGATCTCCATGGCAATCAGGAACAACCAACGACCTGGTTACAAATTTAAGGAGTTCAATGTTGTACCAGAATTCCCACATCTTGAGGAGATAGTTCAGGTAACCTACCTTTATTGTGGTCAAAGTGATAATTGATGAGAAATTTGAGAATCTGTTAATTGAAAAAAAAAACACTTTCCTCAACTGAGAAGGGTTCATATCTACTACATGTGACAGAACAAAAAGTACAAAAATAACTTCAAACTTTGATGTACAAAAAGTACAAAGATAACGTCAAACTTTCTGTTTCATCATGTACTACATATGACAAAGTTGATGACTAAAACAAGGAACAAGTAATTGCCAAAATCTTTTGGAAGTTTCAGTTTTTGTTTAGTTATAACATATTGTTTTTATAGTTAGTTATGCTTCCTGTTTATAGCTAAAACTGTTTCTTATGTAATTTTTTCTTAGAAATGTTAGTATATTTTACTCAAAATTATAATTGGCACAAATAGAAAGGTTGTTTGGTTTTAATAGTAACGGAAATGGTTGTGAACCTATAGAGCATAATTATCTTAATGCACTGTAAACAAAAATAATATTCAAATCTATAGTCAAATTCCCCCTCCCTACATCTGTTATTTTTAGAAACACACAAACTCAATAGGTTTTTGAAAGGCATGCTTTGATTACACCCTCTTTCTACTCTTCAAAATTATGTCATAATCCATTCCTAGATGTTCACTGCCAACCATTATTTACCCCTCTTCCAATTCAAGCTACAATGCTCCACCCTTCAGTTCAGTGTTCTTTAATTGATATGTTTATTTGTACAGGCATGCTGGAGGGATGACCAACAAGCTAGGCCTTATATAGGAGAAGTACTCACAGCATTCAAGGACCCTAGCTTCTTAGCTATCCAGCGGGTTGTTGAACATAAGGAACCACTTGACTGTATCTATAGCTCTGTTACTAACTCAGTAAGTACCACATTCATGATACTAATAAAACTCTACCAACAATATATGATAATGATAGGGATTATCATACTAATAGTGAGGCTAACACATGGTTTGTTTTTTGACCAAGCCTAAATCTCAATAATATATGGTCAGCTTATTAGCCTATATATATTGGGTGCATCACCCAACAGACATGCTTTGACAACACAAAATATTTTATTGGCTTGATGATAATGGATAGATAGATGGATGGATTTATTTGTTGTAAAAGCCAACGATAACCCACAAAAGCCTGAAGAAAACTTTCTTCCAGTGGGGTCATAATCATAATGATTATAATGATGATGGTAATAATTATGATAATGAATATGATGACCCTTTCAATGGTAATGATAAGGAGTTTGATGCTATTGTTTAGAAAATCATTATTATGATATTTGTAAACATAAATTTGGTCCAAACATTAAGGGTACATATGAGTTATGGACTTGGACTGGAACATCTGAATCCCGCAAACTTAGGAGAACTTCTTCAAGAAGGAAAGAGAAAGAAATTGGAATAGAAGAGAAGAATATCCAAGGATTCACAGTCGCTTGCATGTTGAAGATAGGCCAAAGTATCATCTTGGGTTCAAAGGTTAGAGAAATGCCAATTAGTTTGCGTTCAAAGATACACGATTTAAGGCCATGGCTGGGGGTATTGTATTATTTAACTAGTTACCATAATTCTGTATTTTGATGAATCATGTATTTACCTCTTTTGATATTTAGACTGGAAGAGATGGTGTTATACAAGTTATGACAACCCCTACTGGAGGAATGGAACATTCTGAAATATTAAGTAAAACCAACTTGTCATCTGCCCCTATTTGTATGACATATGCAAATAAGGTAAAAAATGTGATTACCATATGCCAACCCTTCCTATCCTCAATGAAATTATCTTAAACAATTATTAATTATTTATTACCATCATTATTTAAATTATAATATTTCTATTTGTGAATTTAAAATCTGTTTTTAAACTTTGTTAGAATGAAAAAAAGGTTAGATAACATTCAAAATTACATACTGCTAATGTAACATTAATGACATTTGATCAACTTACAGGATGATGGTTCCTCTGCATCTCACATTTTTATTGGTCAAGAGAATGGTCAAGTGTCCATATTCAAGTATGAAGAGAAGGACAGCATTGATGGACCACTAATCAACCCACCTGAGTGGACACTGGTCAAGACTTTGGCCCTTAACATAAACCATGAACCCTGTAATTGTATGGCTTGTGTCAATGATGGCAGTGAGATCTGGATTGGCTCTGAGAATAACATTCACATCATAAATTGTCGCGACCTCAACCAGTTAGATCCAATTAAAGTGGGTGCAGATGAGGAAAGACTGGTTGTAAAGATCATGGAGTCTAGAGGAGATAAACTCTGGTGTTCTTGTGCCTCTCCTGCTGATGTCTTTCAGTATAATGTCAAAACTCACAAACGCGAGTACACTCTACATTGTTCTGAATCTGCACAAGGCTGGGTCATCACCATGGAAACATCTAATTTGTACAAAGGTCGGAGGGTACAGTTGCGGTCAAAGGATTCACAGGACATGGAAGATTCTGAGGTCAGTGGGAGCGATAATAAAGATGAAGATCGAATGTTAGCCTTTAATTTTGGCCATTACTCCGAGAATGACGATGAGCAGACCGAGAAATGTAACCCATCAAGAAGGAAGTCTGACTCTATTATCCATGTTTGGGGCCAGCAAAAAAATGGAAAGACCTACACAGAATTCCTTCGAGAGCATTCTCGTCCTGCATGTAAAATTAAAGCATTACTGGTCATCAAAGATACACTATGGGTGGGGCGTAGTCATGGTGATATTCTTGTCATTAATATTAATGAAGACAGTTCATATCATTACAAATATGGTGAAGTGTTGGGTGTACTTTCTACGTACAATCTGACACAGATTGATTGCGGAGTTGTAGAACATTTGATTCGCCTTGGTTCGGATCAAGTCATTGTTTCACGACTGTTGCCCCCTAAAGGCTCGAATGATGGAAACATGTTTAAGCTAGCCCAGCACAACCACTCAGCTAAACCCAGGCAACAGCTGCTTTATTTACAAGCATGGGGATGCGAAGAGTTCAGTTGGTTTGAAAATAATAAGAGGAAACTCGTAGAAACTGAAGTGAATTGGTCCCAACGAAAGCAAAAATCACCAGAGAAGAAACTTACACCATCTAAGCTTGATGTCACAATTTAAGGTCTGTTTTTATGTACAACAGTGGTTTAATCTCATTTCAAATAGTCTTAAAATAATACTTAAATCAAGTGGCTTTGTGAGGGCTGTGAATAAATTATGTTGAATTAATTACTTAATCTACTGAAGGTTCACATTGTACATAAACTATTAATAATAATTATTCTCCTATTGATTGTCAGCGTAATCTCAATGAAACATCATGGTTGGAAGTGGTTTGGTTTCCAAACCCTCGAGGTCAGGGTTTCAATCCCTAGCTATGCTCTTCGCTTGCTTCCTTGAGCAAGGCACTTTATCTGTTTTCCTTCTCTCCACCCAGGAGTGTAAATGGGTACCTGGTGGGGTTGCCTGCTATGGCAGCAATACTTAAGCATGTGGACCCAATAACCAGGAAAAACAAAGCGCTTCCTAAAGGAACGGCTATCTAAACACCAAATAACAATTAATAAACATCAAGTCAGCAAACTGCTAAAATTGCTGAAGAAATTTGCGCAAGACCTGACCTGACCAAATTACGAACATATTGACAGACACTCTTTACTTAATCCTCAATCAGAATATTTACAAAATATGTATGTATTCCATAATTACTAAATTATGTTTAATGTGAAATTAAAATTATATATATTGTGTCTACACTAGCTAAGCTAGTATATGATTATCAATAAAAAATAGATTGTAGCATCGGATGGGGAGCAAGGAGAGTGGGTGATGGATTAATTTTAGTGGCTGCAATAATGAGTGAGGGAAGAGGGAGTGGAGAAGTGGGTGATTGGAGACTGAGTGATAGAGGTAATGAGATGTTGTATGGTAGGAAGAGGGGGAGCAAGGAGAGGGTGGAGTCCAGGGGAGTGAGGTGAGATACAATCTCCCTCTAGAGACCCCTCCAATTAAAGACCACTTTTCTGTGGTTCCAAATTAACAAATGTCTTTTATCTTTATTATTATAATTAGAGACTAAAGCTACTGAAGACCATGAAAACCCTGGCCCAAAAAGTGGTTTTTAATTGGAGGGAATCCCGTAAACAATTAACAATAATCACTAATTAGAGGAAGTGAATGTTTTTTTAGTGTCCTCACAGTTTGTGATGTGAATCAGTCAGTGGCGTCGAGAGTGGGGTCAGGGGGTCGCTGCCCCGGGGCCCGGGTCTACTGGGGGACCCGGACCAAGATGAAAAATTTTCGAGGTAAGAACAAAATCTCCATAGGGCCCGAGCCCAAGCCAGGATGAAAACTTTTGTTGTCAGATTTCGGAGGAGACTTAATTTGGGGAGCAGCCGAGGGGGGTCCCAAGTGAAGGAAAGGCATGTGAGGTTTTGCCCCGGGACCCTTACTGGCTCTCGACACCACTGGAATCAGTGTTTAAGATTCTCTTATGTTTCCCATCCTACCCAATAAAATAAAATAATAATAATTATTATTATAAAATGATTTTCATTTTGAGACCATCATTTTTTAAGCTGGGCATCCACTGCGCTCGACGGTCGTCGGCAGACGAAATTCTATGGAAAACGCAACGCGGGCTCCACAGCTCGTTTTTAATGACATCCTAGCCTACCACCGAAAATTGACAGTGAATGGAGCTGACTCATAGGGAACAGAGTTGAATTCCTCGTATGACAGTCGTACGACGCAGTGAGTGCCCGGCTTTACGATTTTTTTATATAAAATAAGAGCCTGCATGCACTGTTCACCCACTCTCGCGTATGTTTTTTACTCTAATGAAAGTGAGGTGGAAGTGGATAACCATAATATCTATAGTAATAATATCAACTGCATATTTATTTATATAACAATTTTATAACAATATATTTTGTTTATAATTCTTAGCAATAATATTATCAATATTTAGTATTGTTTTTGTATTTATATATTATGTTATTATTATTATTGTTAATATTACCACTAATACTAGCGTCATCATCGCTATAACCACTATGAGTTATGATTGATAACATTGTCGTTATTTTTTTTATTATGTATTGTTTATTTAGTATTCCATTATAATTGTCGACCTTGTAATAAATCTGTTGAGTACTCAATAAACTCTCCACAGCCTTAACCATGGGGTGGCTGAGGTACTCTACACTCTCCATCTGTGAAAGTCCCTCCCTGGGCACATCTATTCCGGATTCCTGGATCCACCACTAACTGATGTGATGCGGCTATCCGTTTTTTCGGAGTATAATTAATCACATCCAGATCAGATCTGCTACCACCAGTACTCTTCTACTACTTCCACTGCTCCTGCTACTACTCTTCATTTATTCATACATAATTATGCTGAAGCATTTTACAAAACCTCAGTATATATATCAACTTCAACTTATTTTGTAACTATTCATGATATTACCGCATAATGTCAGAATCTATTGTCACAAATTGAATGTTTTTTGACATGGTAAAAATTCTATGCTAATTTAATTGCTAGATGTTAGTAAATTCATTCAACTTTGTAATTGCATGTGAAAAGAATCGTAGTCATTTATTTGTTAATATCACTTAACTATTTTAGATGGACTTAATTTTGTGATCATTCCACACGAAAGCAATGGAAATTATAGTTATTGTTAAGTGTGTAATATATGGATAATGTGTACATATGTATAAGTAATCATTTTATTTATATGTATAAAGTCTGTTAGTATAAATATACATTATGTGTTTGCATATTTGTTCACATTTATCTGTCATTCACTCTAAAACCATATAAGTGTCCAATCTGCAATACATTCATTATGGTACGCAATAAAATTATTAAATCTAAATTTATTTATTCGTCGTTTTTGATGTTCACTGTTTTTGTGATATTAATATTCATAATCGGGGTCCTATTATCGAACGGTGAAGATTCAGCTCTCCATGTGTTTTAATGTTACATTTAGTAAAAACTCTAATGACCACCTGAAAAAATCCAATGGTCAGAGGCATTACCGCCGAGAAGGGGGGGGGGGGGGCATGCAGGGTCCGTGACAAAACGGTTTGTTTCATGTGCAACTGTTGTACAGCATACTACTATTTTTTTGTATATTTTCTACGTAAAATTAACTTGGTAAATGGCACTAATATTAGGTAAATATTAACTTAATCAAATCTTACAAATTATCAATTATTTAGTATAAAAGACTTCTGCGTGGTGTGGAACTCCGTTTTTATTTGTGGAACCAGGTAAACATCCAGCAAAATAGGCAAAGGAGCTTAAGTACCGTACGCCTACTCGTGCACTTATCAACGACATGACTCGCTATACACAATACATACCTCTATTACCAACACCTGTTGCCCTATATCTAAAGAGATTAGGCCTACAAAAGACTAGTAACCTGATGATACGATGATTTTACATCGAAACATCGTAATTTTCATTGGCTATTGTACATACACATATTGTAGTACAGTATTATCAATATTATTGGCTAACAGTTGAAAGTGAAAAAAAAAACAATCTACAATATTTAATCAGTAAACATAAAATACATTATTTCGTATGCACGCTTGCATATTAGTCATTGTTTCAATCTAATTGATACCAAAATGTAAATCCGGAAAGGACATTCAGAAAATATAGGACTCCTTGGGTAAGCTACTTTTTTCAAACTCTATTCGGGTTTAACAATTTTACTTATAAAGAGTGGAAAGAATAGCATAAATTTAAAAGTTATTATTTTCATCATAATAATCATAACGATTGATCATGATTATAACCACTATTTATACTAATGTTAGGCCTATGTCTAACCTACATTCGTTTTCGCTGTGTTATAGATAATATAGGCCTATTTGCATGTAAATCAGAGTACAGTAATTTGAAATAAAAAGTATGATTAATAAATCTGGAATCAAATAGATCATTCGGATTTTGCGAATTGCCGAAAAATATCGCTTCTGATCAGTTTTATTTTACATGTGACGTGCCACGGGAGACGTGATGGTTGAGCAAGTACAGATTATGGCAAGAAAATGATCTTCCGTCACACTGAAGTGCATTGTTACATCTCATAATAAACCATCTTTAACAAATAAAAACGAATCAACACATTTTCGAAAATACAACCTACAAATAAGAAACGTGTTCCTGAGTAGGCAGGCGCTCCCGAAATATTCGTTATTAAATCAATTTTTATATATCCTTGAAAAACGTCAACCGCCTATGTTAATATTTCTTGCATCCATCTACTAGGCCTATGTTCATCAGGATATACGTGCACCCATCACTTCGATGCATCATAACTATATATAGGCCTATACATATAATATATTCATATATATATATATATATATATCAAATAAAGGTGATGCTGTATAGGCAAATATACATACAGTAAATAACGAGTCAGATGGTATCAGATATATGCCACAAAATTTATTTTCAGAGTTAGCGAGTACTTTCGACTATAAGTCTTAGCTTGATAAAGACTTATAGTCGAAAGTACTCTATATATATATATATACATATATACATATACATATATCATATATATACCGAACCTAAAACATCAAAAGTGCAAACAAGTGGGGTCCAAGGGCGAAACCTCGGTGGGGGTCCTGAGGGCGAAGGCCCCGTAAACCCCAGCATTCTAGACATTTACAGGTGTACATTTAATTGATTTGAGAGGCCATACATTTAAAAGAATGTATAGGCCTATATTAAAGAGGTAATTTTTGAGTTATGCAAAGATAAAAAACAAAAAATCTACTACTTTAGCACCGTACTCGCGCGAATAAAATAATATTTTTTGCACTTTCTGAGGGACGCTTATTCAAACGAGGCGCTTATTTAAACAGGGCGCTTATGAAAACAGCGTGGAAATTGAGAGGGCGCTTATGGAAATAGATGAAAATCAGTACGACCGTGTAAATTCAAGAGGCAGTTTGTGAATTAAAAAAGATTATATAAGGACATTACGAATTACTTATTCAAACGGGGTGCTTAAGGAAATTTTCACGTTAGGAGGGGCGCGGTTATTCGAGAGGGGCGCTTATACAAACGGGGCGCTTATTCGCGCGAGTACGGTACTACAATACTGGTAATTTAAAACAAGAGCCTACAGTAGCATGATACAAACTCCAAAGAAACCTGGTTTATTCTTTCTTTTTTATTCTTTTTAAGAAATAAGAAGTAGGCCCTATTGTATGGCTTTGGAAGTTGTATCATCCTGTACTCATTCAAGACAATCAGTAACATAAAAAGAACCGAGACAAATTTGTATGGTTGGTTGATAGCGTATTATTACTGTAATATATACAGTATAGGGCCTATACAGGTGTGAAACTATCCCCCGCCGGACACCATCCCGGTATTTCTTAGTCAAGGTTTTGGGGCCTGAATGGTCATACTGCACAATAAAATATTGCATCCATAGTAATATAATATAGGGCCTAATATTTGTATGAAATACAGAATTCTGTTTACATTACAATATTTTGAAGGTCTCTCTCTAGCTCGCCGGTTGACAACATTGTATCGGGACGTCGGCGATACGCTCTGCTGCTGCCCTGCCCTGTCCCTATTCTGGGCGGGTAGGCCTACACGGTCGTACTGATTAAATAATGTTTTAATAGTTGAAAATGCACAATGTTTATTATTTTATGTTACTATGTAGGCCTACAATCGGGTATTAAAATAAGACTTTTTTAAACGATGATAGGCTCAATGCTATGCCCAAGGTGTAGGCTAACCTTTGTTGAAAGGGCACTTCATGGAAAGGGGGGGGGGGTGTTCGTTCGAACGCCCTCCCCCCGGTTACTTGCTTGAAACAAGCTTTATGTTCGTATCAGTCATTATTTGTCCCACCTTAAATGGACACGTACCTAAACTGTGATTGAAAATTACTTCCTGGTTGTACAAAGCAAGGCAAAGGAATTGGTGAACAGATATACAGTAGGCCTAGGCCTACTATTCGGCTAAGATTGCACCACATACACACACCCACGCACATAATAATAACGCCTATTGGAAACGGACACAGTCCGTGATAACATTCAGTGATGAGTGAGAATGGACTGGCCCCCCACCCTGAGTGCCACTAGAACTGATCACCCTCACCCCTTTTAGTGAATTACTGTGAAGAACAAAATCATCTACAGTATGCTATAACATATATTAACTATCAATGATTTTTTTTAGTTCTAATCTCTTTTTCTATCTCTTTTTTGTGTTATAGGTAATCGGTCTTGAATTCAAAGCGGATTTTGTATTGTTGGATGTTCAACAGAGTAATTCCAAATGAAAAATATGATCAATAAAACTGGAATCAGAAACAAAACATTATTAAATCATTCGGATTTTGCGAATTGCCGAAAAAAATTCTTCTGATCAGTTTTATTTTAACATGTGCCACAGGAGATGTGATGGTTGAGCCAGAACAAATTACGGCAAGAGAAGGATCTTCCGTCACACTGAAGTGCATTGTTATATCTAATGATAAACCATCTTTAAGTTGGTTCTTTAACAACAATAAAATAAATTTCAACAAGTACATACGTTCAAACACAACAGATCTAAACCCAATGCCTACCAGAATATACAACCTACAAATAAGAAATGTGTTGTCAAGGGATGATGGTGTGTACACTTGCCAGGTTATTATAGCCGAAAACAGGATCAAACGTCATATCAAATTGGCCGTAAAGTATTTGAACGAAAATCCTTCTGTCAATTGCCAATTTTCGTCTACATCCAATACCTCAATTCAACATGTAAGCGGTCAACGGACCAGATACCAAACTCAACTTATTAGCTGTATATCTTGCAGAGCTAACATCGGTAAAAACGTTTTCGTCAACATCACAATCATGAAATCTGCTCACCACAATCTAATTCTAAGTCTATTTTGCTACTAAAATGCAGTCTGATGCTGTAAATGGAGTAAGTATCATTTATCAAGTGGACGTCACTGGTTTAGACGGTTGGCAATTCTGGTGCGTGGTACATCAATCGATGATGTTACAACCGCTCAACTCTTCCACACCTCTGTTAATGACACCTCGAGTAAAGATCGCCAAACTAAATACAGACAGCGAGCAGTTTAAATGTGAAGTAGAATCATATCCCGATGCCGCTTTCCGATGGATTATCTGTGAGAAAGAAATAGAAAATATCCAGCTTGAAGAATGTAAGGTATTGAACAGCACAAGTAGTACCGTGACGCTGATGGATATTGGTGCCGTGGATGATGCGTTGATACTGATATGCGAGGCTCAAAATGCAGTTGGAACAGGACACGGCAACCTGACAATCACTAGACATACCGGACCCCCAAATATGCCGATCACTCGACAAACCGAACCTACAGGCACAATGATCACACCTCATGCCCAACCTACAAAAAACAAAACGAGAGGAGGCTTGGTCAAATGGTGCATAGGTGGTACCGTATTGTTAATATTTTGTGTCTTTGTGTTATTATTGTTAATATGTTTCTATAAACGATTCTGTAAAACAGCCCCTGCTGACATCCCTGACGATCAATACACAAGTATTAAGTTTAATACAAACCAGCGCCGACAGCACGACTACCAGGAACTTGGAAAGCTGTTTACAACGCCGCTCACGAATAACTGTGAAGCTCAGTATATTAATATTCCAAATGTGAATTTGAAAGAAGACGACAACGCATACATAAGTCCTGTTTATCAAAACTTCAAAGTTTCTTTCTAGTACATGATGTGATTATATTGGTAAGACAGATAGGTGCTTAATAACTAGACTTAAAGAACATTCTTCACGATCTGATAGTGTTATATTTGATCATGTTAAAAACTGTGAGGCATTTCAATATGTTTTAGGCTTAGAGGGTATACTTGAAAATGATAATGTCGTCTGTAATGTAAGTAATAAATTAGGTTTAATATTTTCTAGTACTAACATTATTGACAGCTCCCGAAACTGGTCTATCCTATTGTTTAAAGAAGCGTTTGCTATATGTAGACTACACCCTTTGCTTAACAAATGGGCTCAGAGCTTCAAAAGAGCTTTCTTTGTTTTTGTAGGTAGCTTTGACTAGTAGAGTAAGAATGCTTTGATCTTTTGTTTAAATCACTGCTATGTCACCTACTAGAGGTAATGTTTTGATTGGTTAAACACTTTTGGTACTAGTGCATATAAGCTTGCTAATATGGATAATTTTTTCATTGCTGATGATGACATAATTAATGTCGAAATATTGAATCCCAACACGATGGCGTGCATTTCAATACTTGGAGTATGTATTATACTTTCTTATCTGAGTTATTAGTCAGTGGATCTTTCGGTAAGTACATACACTGTGCATGAATTTCAGGAAAAAAATTTAAAACAAGCTTGGTTTATACATTAGTTTAGGTGATTTAATGCCAGTTAAATACACCATAATACAGATTGATGTTACATTACCTTATTTATTTTTTAATTGTAGAAATTCACAAAATTTACATCATTCATTTTGAAAAGAAGCTCCCTTCTTTACTTTGCAAAATAGTCTCGAAAAGAAGCCCATCTCGAAATGTAGCCAATTTCAAAAAGAAGCTCATCCAAAGTATGGGTACGGTATGTTTGGAATACCCCCATGTTTGGAGTGTTTTTATACCTCCATGGTTAAAATAACATCGACGAGAATTCATAAACATTTACACAATTAACGCAAGTAACATGACAATGCGACTTTCCAAAATACGTCGTTAATATCAATGAACTTAAACAAGTCAGATGTACTTTATGCATAAAAGTAAATAGCTCATATCCTGGAGCTGGACGAGCAATACAACCTAACGATTGTCAGCAGACTTTAAGATGATATAGCGGTCATGTGATAACTTTCTGGAAATGAAGATTTATTAGTTCTGTATTTTGTATCATGAGACAGCAAAACAATATGATTAAACAATATGAAACAACGCTGTGGTTGAAGATTTTCTATCAATAGTGACAGAGAAGAGAGTCCAGAGATAGGGGCCCATTTAATTGTAAATCTATACATTTGACGTAATTTCTGGTCGTAATATCCTCCCTTAATTACAATTTTGTATGCTATTGCCCTTACGAAAACTGGGCTTAATTAAGGAGACAATTTTATACAAATTACCCCAATAATATAGGCCTGCATTGAGACATGATTGGATAAATGATTGGTATTTTTTATTTACTTGAATACAGTATATTTTAAAATACGCAATGACCTATTTAATAATAATAATAATAATATTATTATTATTATTAATAAGAATTATAAAGCGCACAATTCCACTGCAGTAGTGTTCAAGGCGCTACTAAGGAACAAAAAATTACCATGAACCTAAAGCTACAAGAAAAGAAACACCACACAATCACCGCACCGTTTACAGGCAATTTAAGGCACCTCCTATTCATTACTCGCAGGTGCTCAAGTTATAGAAAAATGCTGAAACGCTATTTAATAAAAATAAATCATTTATGATAAAAAGTAATAAATGAATTCAATGAACATCTTTCGTTAGAACCTCCCTAATCTGAGAAAAAAAACAAGCGTTACCTTAGGTTAAAGCTCGGCAATATTCAAAGGACGGCAATATCATAGAGAAAATAGAATTAAAATATTTCCTCTATGGTAATATTAAATTGTGGACGGTATTCCCTCCAATTCGTTTATACCAGTGACGACTGATAACACTTCTAATATTACATATCGGATATTTCAGATCATTTTCCAATATTCTTCATCCGAGTAACATCATAACAAATTAACAGATATTTTCTTAATTAAATTAAGTGTTTTACAGCAATCTGAACGCTTTAAGCAAGAGGTGAACGCTCAAAAATGGGAAAACGTGTTAAATTCTAATGATGCAAATACAGCATACAAATAGTTCTGATGCAAATAAAGCCTACAACGTAGGGGTGGCGCCGGGATTTGCCTGATGGGGTGGGGGAGGGTGCCGAAGTCCCCCGGCCAGGGGTGGGGGATCTTCTTAACGAAAAAAGGTGGGCGTGGTCGGGTGTCGCTGAAATTCTCTTAAAAGTGTTCGGAAGGGGGTCAAAGCCCCAAATATTATGGCAATTTAGGGGTTTAAGATTTATTAAATCGATTTTTGAGTCTATTAGATACGACACATGTGACATGTGTTTATGTTCACTTTAGTTGGTTCATTTATTAAGGACAATGCGTTTTGCATGATTAGCTTCATATTAATTTTTATAGTGCGTCACAATTTAAATTACTTATTCAATAGCATACTATATATATTTTGTCTATACACTAGCAAAGGTAGTTTAGATTTTTTTTTAAAATAGATTGTAGCATGGTAGAGAAATGGGGAGCAAGGAGAGTGGGTGGAGTAATTTTAGTGGCTGGAATAATGAGTGAGGGAAGAGGGAGGTGTTTTGTGGAGAAGTGGGCGATTGGAAACACATGGAGTACTGAGTGATAGGAGTAATGATATATTGTATGGTAGGAAGAGGGGGAGCAAGGAGAGGGTGGAGTAGGGGGAGTGAGGGGGAATACAATCTTCTGCTAGAGACCCTCCAACTAAAGTTAATTTGTGGTTCCAAATTAACAAATAATGATATTACACACTTAACAATAACCATAATTTGCATTGCTTTCGTGTGCATCTAAAATAGTTAAATGATATTGACTATCAATAACAAATAAATGACTACGATTCTTTTTACATGCAATTACGAAGTTTCAGGATTTTACTAACACTAGCAATTAAATTATCATAGAATTTTTACCATGTCAGAACATTCAATTTGTGACAATAGATTCTGACATTATGCGGTAATATCATGAATAATTATAAAATAAGTTGAAGTCGTGAGGTATATATACTGAGGTTTTGTAAAATGCTTCAGCATATTATAATAAGATTATGAATGAATGAAGAGTAGTAGTAGTAGTAGCAGCAGTGGTGGTAGTAGAAGAGTACTGGTGGTAGCAGATCTGGATGTGGATTAATTATACTCCGAAAAACGGATACCCGCATCACATCAGTTAGTGGTGGATCCAGGAATCCGGAATAGAAGTGGCCCAGGGAGGGACTTTCACATGGACAGTGTAGAGTACCTCAGCCCCTCCATGGTTAAGGTTGTGGTACGAAATTCTACGATTATAGATGGCCGGAAATGGCACTCTAGGAGTGGAATTTTAATATAACCTTTTTTTTTCTCCATTAAAAAAAATAATTTTAAAAAATTGAAGGGGCAGGACTTCCCCCCACCCAAGCCGAATCCGCCCACGGTAGTGGTAGTAGCAGTGTTGGCGGTGGTAATAGTAATAGTAAGTGGTATCAATAATAGTGTAGCATGCAACATGGCGGTGAATTAAATTGAGTAAGGCATTACTCAACAGATTTAATACTAGGTCGACAATTATAATGGAATACTAAATAAACAATATATAATTCAACATAATACGAAAAAAAATAATGACAATGTTATCAATCATAACTCAGTGGAGATACCGATGATGACGCTAGTAGTAGTTGTAATAATAATAACAACAATAATAATAATAATAATTATAATAATATAAATAAATATAAAAACAATACTAAATATTGATAATATTATTACTAAACAACAGTACATGTAGGCTACTATTTTACATTAAAAAATATCGTAAAGCCAGTCACTCACTGCGAGTCAGCTCCATTCACTGTCAATTTTCAGTGGTAGGCTAGACTGCCATTAAACGCGTTGCGTTGCGTTCTTCATAGAACTGCGTCCGCCGACGACCGTCGAGCGCAGTGAATGCCCAGCTTAAAAAATGATGGTCTCAAATGAAAATCATTTTATAATAATAATTATTATTTTATTTTATTTGGGTATGAGGGGAAACAGAAGAGAATCTTTTACACTGGTTCACTTCACAAACTGCGAGGACACTGAAAAATATATTCACAACATGAATTAAATTGAGTAAGGCATTACTCAACAGATTTAATACTAGGTCGACAATTATAATGGAATACTAAATAAACAATATATAATTCAACATAATACGAAAAAAAAATGACAATGTTACCAATCATAACTCATAGTGGAGATAGCGATGATGACGCTAGTAGTAGTGGTAATAATAACAATAATAATAATAATGTAATATATAAATACAAAAACAATACTAAATATTGATAAATATTATTGCTACTAAGAATTATAAACAAAATATATTGTTATAAAATTGTTATATAAATAAATATGCAGTTGACATTATTACTATAGATATTATTTAGTAAGGTTATCCACTTCCACCTCACTTTCATTAGAGTAAAAAAACATACGCGACAGTGGGTCAACAGTGCATGCAGGCTACTATTTTATATTAAAAAATATCGTAAGCCAGGCACTTACTGCGAGTCAGTACCATTCACTGTCAATTTTCAGTGGTAGGCTAGACTGCCATTAAAAACGAGCTGTGGCGCCGCGTTGCGTTCTTCATAGAACTGCGTCCGCCGACGACCGTCGAGCGCAGTGAAGGCCCAGCTTAAAAAATGATGGTCTCAAAATGAAAATTATTTTATAATAATAATTATTATTTTATTTTATTTGGGTAGGAGGGGAAACAGAAGAGAATCTTAAACACTGGTTCACATCACAATCTGTGAGGACACTGAAAAATACATTTACTTCCTCTAATTAGCGATTATTGTTAATGGTTTACAGGATTCCCTCCAATTTTCATGGTCCTTAGTAGTTTTGCATTTTCAGAATATATATCGAGACAGAAAACAGTTACAGCCTCATATTTCAAGTTTCTTGTCTTTTTATGTTATATATGAGTATATTCTTTAGTAGTATTCTGTTTTAATATAGAAAGTATATATATATGTATATATATATAGGCCTATATATATGCATGTATAATATTACACACACACATATATATATATAGGCCTATATATATATATTTATACAAATATAATATATACAGTATCTATATCAGTATATGTATATATATGTAGACATACACACACATATTATATATAATATATATATAATATTTACATTATATATATTTATATGATAGGCCTATATATAATATGAATAACTATATTTATTAATTGCTGCGAAGCAGCCAATTCATATTCTTGACAGCAATTTGACCTCTGAAAGGTCATTGTTTGTCAAAAAACAAGGGCATAAGACGACTGAAAAGCGGAGTTTCCTTCTGAAGGGACGAAGGTTCCAATGAAAAACAACGTCGCTCCTTCATAGCTAACATTGTTTATTTAACATCACAATAATCCATTAAAAAAAATGTACACTTCCTAGACCATGCAATCTTCAAATTAAAAATTCTAACCTTTGGTAATCAACTACATTTTCCACATATATAGAAATTTTTTGAAACTTTATTAAAAAGAAAACTAAACCATAATTCACCACTATAGACACGTTTTGACAAAAATGAAAAATTACGACTTTGTTACCCAATGAGAAGGTGTTCTAATATAGACAATGGGTCGTGTCTCATATTATTTGTTATATTTATATTATTCATTATTTTCACTTGACTCGCATAAATAATTTTGTTCGAAGAACATTTATATGCAGTTGTACTTCGCAGCACTTCACTTGCAATTTGCAATTTCTAGTATTAGGCATATAGGTATGCAGCCCGAGTTATTATATTTTTCGTTTGTAAATAGGGCCTATACTTATTGACGGAAAAAACATCCCGATACAGTAATCAGAATGGAACGTTTCACTGAATGATTGATCGTTGTAGTCCCGACACTTACACCATGAAGGAATTAGTTTAAACCAATTCCTACATGCTTACACAATAGAGTACTGTCTGGATATTTGGTGAGGCGTAACACTAGGCT